TGCTGGACTCAATGAGCATGAAATGTATTACATGTATGCTTACTAAATTACCTAAACATGCCTATATGGTTAGTCTGTAAAAAGTTCCTTAAGTATCATGTTTCCTATTTTCCAAATAAGAATTAGTTATGTTTAGGTATTACATAATACCTCAGTGGGAACTGGACTCTAGAAAAATGCTGGAATTCAAAAATAGAAAAGTCTCACAGCCTCCTCCTATTCTTTCCAGATAAGCAATAATTGTTTGAAATAGTTAATTTTTATTATGAACTAATATATGGTAGCAATGAATCTAGGTTTATGGAACTTCCTTCTTGCAGCTATAAATAAACATGGCTAGAAGTTTTTGGTGGCAATTTCTGACATTCCCTCTCCCCTTCTTTTTAGGTTTAATAAATTTGTCACTTGTCCTAATAGTATCTATCTTCCCCTGGATTGTAGGAGAAAGCGTTCAGTCTCCTTTAAATCAAGTTTGACTCCTAGGGACTACATGGACACTAATAGTCACAGTTTTCTTGACAACTATGTAAGGCCGGTTAGTCACCATCTGTTTTTATTTCTTGGTTTAAACTGCAATGGTTGTATTCTATTATGGTCTTTCCTCCAAATTCTGATTTGGCCTAATTAGGTTTAGCTTCTGAGCCCAGATAATTTCACGTAAGTGTTGCCTTTTGTTAAGTTATACTATGCCAGAAGAACAAGGAATTGTCCAGAAATTGGGTCTGTGTATATGTATAAAAAGAAGCTTGGATTTCCCCCTTATTCTTCTTTAGAATATTTGTCCTTATAGCCCCGTTATTTCTTATTTACATTTTTCTTCCTTCATGTTCTACTTCTTACTAAGAATAATTCATATTATTATTATTATACATTATTATACATTATATATTCTAAAGAAGAATAAGGGGGAAATGTAAATATAAGATTACCGTTACGTAATTGCTGTAAAAAAAGGAGTATATATATATTGTATGTGTATGTGTGTTATGTTTTGCTTTGTTCTGTTTTGTCTTGTTGGTCAAAAATAAAAATTAAAAAAAAAGAAGCTTGGATTATAAATATTACTGTATTATTGGCTTGTTTTCAGCAGGAAGTACTGTGTGGAACAAAGTAGACAGGAAGAGTCAAAACCAGTTACAGTTCAGAAGTGGATTATCTTTTTATGGTTCCAAAGACCATAATGTAGATCAAAGAAGCTTTATTAAAAGGCTAGAGCATAATCTGTCCTTACTTAAGTTTTGGTTTGATGTTTGTTTGTTGTTCTCAGATTGATTTCATTTCTTTAAGACTTCAGAGAGCAGTGATTTTTAAATTTGGTAACTATGCTATTCTATCTTTCCTCCCTCCCTGCTTTAAGGAGCACTCAAATGTTCACACCATGACCATTTTGGTCGAAAAACTAGTTAATTTTAAAAGTTTTTCATGGACCTATATCAGACATGTCAAACACAAGGCCCGGGGACCAGATGCATCCCGCGAAGTGGTTTCATGTGGCCCGCAAAGCCATCCTGGAAACAGTGAGGGAATGGACCCCTCTGCCTTAGCCCTGGCCCAGGCTGGCCGGGAGCCAATGTACAATTTTGTGGTGGCCATGTATGCTGAAATGCATTCAGTCTTAGCTCCATAAGCCCCTCCTCCCGCATGGCCTGAGAGGAACAGTGAGGCTCCTCCAATGGACCATGCCTTGGCACTTGCCCTGGTCCCACCCCCTTCTGACAGAGATCCTCAGATCTATCCCACTTCTGCCCAGGCCCCCACAGGCACCCTTGATGCGAATGATTTAGAGCTGGCCACGCCCACCCAGTAGGCCACACCCACTCCATCCACACCCACACAGTAGACCGCACTCACTCTGGTCACACCCACCCGGCCCCCTGAGGGCAACCACAATGCTGATGAGGCCCTCAATGAAATTGAGTTTGATACCCCTGACCTATATCTCACTGGCTCAAGGTTGACTCAGCCTTCCATCCTTCCGGGGTAGATAAAATGAGGACCCAGATTGTTGGGGGCAATGTATATATATACATACATTGCTTACTGGTGTACACCGCTTAGAGAGTGCTTGCACTTAAAGCGGTATATAAGTCACAAACAAACAAATAAATAAATAAATAAATATGCTTGTCTTTTTATTCTTACTGTGATTTCCTGCACTATTTTACATCACTTGTAGTTTTGATTTAGCTGGACTTCAATTTTCAAGTTTTTTTTCTGGTCAATCATATTGTCTTATTTCTCAATATTTAAATATAAATATATTATAGAGAGCTAAATTACAGTGGAGGTGCTTATATTATCCAACTGATTCTGCATGTATTTGTATTAGTTACATTGGTGCCCAGGAGCATCGCTAATACTGACGGCTGTTCTTGCCAGCTTTAAATAATATTTTGTACAGATAAAATACTGCCTTAATGCTATACAGACCATGTACTTTCAGAATAACTAGTGTTAAGAGATAATTTATGTAACCATCTTTTACTGCCCAAATCCACATCGTTCCTTAGCCAGCTGAAAAAAAAGGCATGTTGTATCTGCACAATCCAGTCGATGAAACAAGATTTAGGTACAATCTTGATTCTGCTCAGTACCTGGGCAAACTCAACAGGCTCTCCATCTCTTTATCAGATAGTGTTATTTGTACAGATAATAGCAGTAAAAAAAATTCTTTTTTCTAATTCACGTACATGAGAAAGAATTTGGAATCTGAAAAGTCTCTGTCATTTTAGTTGCTTCTGATAATGCTTCCCATCTATGAATTTGGAGACATTTTCTCCTTATGTTTCCATGCTGTCGTTTTTGAGGCATGCTTCTTGCAGTAGTAATTCTGTTAGGGATGTTGTAGTACTGTATCAATTTTTAAGGGAATATTAAAAATTAAGACTATCATAGGACTTTATTCAATTCTGTTTATTTCTTTATTAGATCAATCTATATCCACTTATATGGCTGCCATCTTGCACTTTTAATTGTTTAATTCTGGATTTGGGTGTTACATTCAGTTACATTGCTGTTGGTAACCAAACTAACAAAATTTCATTTTTGGTGCAAGGTTTTTGGTTTGAGTTCCCTGTATAACAAATATTCATTCTTTTGCATTTGATACGTCTCTATTTAATCCCTTCCATTTTTTTAAGGTGGCTCCTTCATTGCCTACATGATGCATTCCAATAACCAGATTAATTAATTTTTAACATCCACATACTTTATACATTTATTGAATAAACTTCACCAAATTTTCTTTCTGCTTTCCCAGTTGGAGAGAAACTTAACTTTTTCAAAATATTGAGGGGGAGAGAAATGTCAGAAAGCAATTTAACCATGCCTCTCTTTGGCTAACCAAAACATTGATCTTTCTATGTTTATTCATTGTTATTGTTACTGTGGAAAAGAATAGCACACCACTAGCATTAGCACTTAGGTTATATACTGCCCCATAGTGCTTTGCAACACTCTCTGAGCTGTTTACAATGTTAACATATTGCCCCCAACAATCCTGGTCCTCATTTTACCGACTCGGAAGGATGGAAGGCCGAGTCAACCTGGAGCCTCTCAGGATCGTCCAGACTGTGGGCAGAGTTAGTCTGCAATACTGCATTGTAGCCACTGCACTACCAGAATAAGTAGGAAAAGATAGACAAAGGGAGTTGCATTGTTTGACTTGCTCAGTCTGGTTTGAATTAATATATTGGATTCTTCATAAACACTTAGAAATTTGAAAACCAATTTTTTTCCATTGGTCGCTATGTTCTCCTCGTATGAACCCCAGAGTCCCTGTTTCACTTCAGCTGCAGTATTTATTTTTAAATAATGTTGAAATGTTTACATGACAAGTATTCTAATATTTGCAAATCCAGAAAAAAAAACAATTGTTTTGAAAGACTTAGGACACATTGCTTAATATAATATAGGCAGGCAACCTAAAATACATGCTAATGGTATTTGCAATCAAATGTAGAGTATTATAGATGCTGGGTTTAGTGAAAACCTGTAATCATAGTGACTTCTTTTTATGATTAAAGTAACTTTTAGTATCACTCTCATATTAGTCCATTATTTATGGCAAGTGGCCTTCCCTTGGATTGTTTCTAGGTATCAGTTATGGTACTTGTAGTTTAGCATATCTAGAAATTGTGATTTTTTTAAATTTATAATTTAACACCAGATCTTTCCATTCGGATCAGGAAGAATTAGTGTGATGTGCACACCTTCCAATAAACTGCCATTCACGAAGTTTGTCGTCTCTGTTGCAGTATTTACCCTCCTTGGAATAGCACCACCCCAGAAATCTATAGTCCTGGAAACATTTAATGTTCTGGAACTATTTAAAAAACAGTCTTTTTCCAGGCCCAGCAAAGGGGAGCTGTTGAGCCCATGAGTATGTTTTGAGTAGTATTTGGACTGTGTTTGTTTTGATTTGCATGGTTTCTTCTACCTATTAGTACTTTCATAGTATAAGGAAACCAAAAGCCGTCCTTCTGGAGTCAGGCACTATTAAATCTAATAAGTAAGTAGATAAATAAATGATCTACTCACCTTGAACAGTGTAATGTTGTTGTTGTTGTTGTTAATTGCGAAGTCGTGTCCGACCCGTCGCGACCCCATGGACAATGTTCCTCCAGGTCTTCCTGTCCTCTACCATCTTCTGGAGTACATTTAAATTCACACCTACTGCTTCAGTGACTCCATCCAGCCATCTCATTCTCTGTCGTCCCCTTCTTCTATTGCCCTCAATCTTTCCCAACATTAGGCTCTTCTCCAGTGAATCCTTCCTTCTCATTAGGTGGCCAAAGTATTTGAGTTTCAGTAATATTGTAATATTGAGTAGGTTTAAGTATAATTATCTTAAAATTACATTTAATGAAAACATTGTTAATAGAAATACAGTAAAGCTGGGGTCTTCCAATTTGGCCCTTTTATGACTTGTGGACTTCAATTCCCAGAATTCCTCAGCCAGGCATGCTTGCTGAGGGATTCTGGGAGTTGAAGTCCACAAGTCATAAAAGGGCCAAGTTTGAAGACCGCTTCAGTAAAGGGTATAGTTTTAATCCATGGCTATGTAGAAAACACAAGGAAATCATGTTCTCCCTAACGTTTTATTGCTTGTTAGCTGCAAAATGGAAGAGAAAAGGGTGATGCAGGTCTGCCAAGTCTACTGTCGTCTTCCAGATGTTCCCAATAAGACACTCATGTCCTGTTTTCTTAAAGCTGAAGATGCAGTATTTACCCTTCATAACATATTATGCTGGTAGTAGTTTAAAAAATATTGTAGGAAAAATATTTGTAGTCATAAATAATAGTAATTAAATAATATTTCAAGTTAATTTGCTATTTCTAGTATTTGAAGCATATGAGATTTATGATACGTGACAAAAGGATAGCTTTTGTGTTAGTAAAATTAAATTAGCAAAATTGGGGCCAAATACGATTGGTTCAGTTCCATAAGGCATATATCAACAGTATCATTTATGAGATCATGAGTGAGTATACAGAGCAATTCCTTCCATGGCTTCCCACCATTTTGAGATAGGTGATATATAAAAACTATAACATTCAGTATAGACTCAGGATAATGAAAGGAAAAATAAAGAAATGTTCAGATGTTTTCTCAGCCTCCAGCAAAAAATACTGGCTGTGTACATAGAGCTGATTCCACCACCTCCAGTCTAGTCCCCCAAAATATTAAATATTTAAGTAAATATCTAAATATTAAATGTTCCATTATCAAAATGTTTGTCTGCCATAAACTAGAGTTCAGTAAGAGTATGAGTGGCTCTTTTTAAAAAGCATTGGCTAGTGTGACAAATTCAAAAGCAGATCCATTCCAGAATGAAAATTGGCTGAAATCACTTTGGCATTTCAAAGCTGCAATGCCACTCAGTCATTACTGCATTAATGCATTGTGTCATGTATTTCTATAGTGATACAAATTTAAATACATGAATGAAATACTTACGAATCTACATTTATTTTTGTAATACATTAATTAGCTTCAACTGGAGTAATTTCCCCATTTTCTGCTATTTTAAAGGCAGCCAACAATACTCTTCTTTCAGATTTACTTTTAGAGTTGCTGAAGTGTGATTTCTTACAATATTAATTAAAACAGAAATCCACAAGGTTGCCATGCCACCTGAATTAATTAGATTCAAATATGGGTGTAGTTCTTATCCTCCAAGGAGTTTCACAGACCTATTCTAACAACACAAGTAGAAGCTGTTGGGGAAGGGACATTGCAAGGAATGGGTGGGTAATCGGGATCTGCTTCCCATTACTCCATGCAGAGTGAATTGTTTTCTTTTTTAATACATATTTCAGGAATGAGTTACAAGATGGGAAATGGAGAGGCTTTTGTGTGCTGCAGTGTTTTAGCCTATTTTCTTGCATTCCACTTTTGAAGGGAGAGATGAAGGCAGAACCTTCTTTTCTTTGTTGCTTCAAAAAAGAAGTCAGTGTTTGCTAGCTGCTCTTGATGTGATGTCTGTTTTTATTCAGACTGAGGCATGATAGGGATGTAAGTAAAATATGAGTAGGTTTCTTAGCATAAATAGCCTTAAGTTCCATTGATTCTTTCTGAATTGTATATTATGCAAAGTAAAGGTTTGTGTGTGCATGCGTGTGTGTGAATTGAACAAGAAATGATTAGCCAATTTTTCCCTCTTCTTCTGGCAGATTTTTTAAAATTGCATGATGTGTGATGAGTTGGAGATTCTGAACAGGGAGATTGAGAGGTTATTACAAAGCAGCATCGTGGAAAGAAGCTCTTTAAGCTCAGAATCTCTTCAGACATCAACCTCTGATTCCTGGGATGTAGTTACTGCTTCAAGCAGTGGACCACAAGGCAGTTTAGTGAAGGTATCCAGTACCTTAATGTTGTTTCAGGTGTAGCAAGAGCATCCTGTCTTTTCTCTATTGGTTTATCCTTCATAATATCTAGATAGCTTTCAGTGTGGATTTATTCATCATGCAGCACATTTTAATGTGAAAACAATGTATATGAATAGAGGAAAATGGCTGTTTTAACCTTACAAATTACTGGATAATAAGCCAGTTGTGAAATATAATTGGGTGAATTTTAGAGTTAATTTTAGGTTAAAATTTATTGTATCCAGATGGCAACTACAAAATATTACAAATAAATGGGAAACATTGTAATAACTAAGGGTGTTGTTCAGTAGCCATTGAACCAAAATACAAAAGTCAGGGTATTGTTTAAAATGTGGCTAATTTTCTGGGAATATCAAAAGTCAATAGCAAAACATTTCCTGTGCTATCCCTTTAAGGGAAATGGGTTAGAATTTTCAGATGTTTGATTTTGTGGTGGCTGGGATTTGTCAGTTGGGAAATACCACATTTACATTAATAATAGCTGGGGGGAGCAGAGAGGTAGATAGCTGGTGCCATATAAACAAATGTTTAGAAATAAGAAATCCAACAGTAATTAAAGACAAATCCTCTGGAACACAGATTATTCTGAGAATCATTTACTGAATTGAGTGAACATGTATTTTATGTGTAATATTTTGCTTTGGTTCTATAAATTATGCCAGTATTGTTTTTAATACCAAAAACATACTCGAGGTCTTAGTGGTTGCTTTTCTGTAAATTAGTGATAAAAGGATAAAGTGATTCTTGTAGCCCAGGAGTGTCAAACTCGCAATGTTGTCATGTGATGTTTTGTGGCGTATCACAGCTTTTTTTTTCCATTGCTGGCAATGGGTTGGGTGCGGTTTTGGCATGATGCATCTGGCCAATGGGCCGGCAGTTTGACACCCCTGTTGTAGCCTAGTAAAATGCTTAATATGTATTAGATCCCATCTTGCTTGTAATGTATTTAAATTAACTAGTAAACCTACTGATGAAAGTTTTAATAGTTTTCTAACTTAAGCAGTAATTTAGGTGAAGAAAACTATAAATAAATTTTCCTGTAACAGGCAGCTGTTTCGAGTGGAGCATTGCTGGTTTCAGAGTCTTCAGGATGGCATCCAGATGACCATTACTCTTCTGGCTTCTCCAGAATAGCATCTGTTGTTGGGATTATGCTGAATGACTCTGATTTACTTCTGCCCTCCTGTGATTCCTCCTTGGCTTAAGTGGACAGGAAGAACTAATTCCAGCAACCTCTAATGCTGTGTCAGGTAAAAAGCATTTAGAGGATAGTGAAGACTCTTCTGTTTCTCTTGCTTAATGTGGAGACGGGATTCGTCTGTACTGTTAACCTTTCTTCACCTTCAAAGGTAAACCCTTTCATTAAAATGTCAATTGCATGTTGTGATAATACTGTACCACACCCTTTTTTTTTTTTCTTCAGAAATTGTAGTGTGACATTAAACCAAATTGGAGGTTTTAAATTTCACTGAGGGCTACCTGAGGACAAATGATTGACATATTGGGAGAGAAAGGGTGGCATGCTGTTTTGTTATGTGATAGCAATGTTATAAGCTGAAAGGAGAAAAGCTGTTTTCTGAGAGAGCATTGGTAAAACCTAGCATTGTCAAGTGGAAAGCTGTAGAAAAGTTGTATGTGAACTCGTATCATGAGCAAGAAACATTAGGTGCCATTCTGGTCCCAGTATTCAGTGCTTCCAGCATCAAAAGCTATTAAACTTACACTGCATTATAGGGCAGAAATCATTTCCCAAGATCTTGGGTAGGACTACCCTAGATCTGCTAATGCCAAATCAGGCACTGTGATATTGTCAAACTACCATTAGCATAATGATTTCCATCTGCTTCCAAAGGCAGTCATATCTTTCATTATGACTTGATCCCAAGATAAAGGACTAGAGTTCAACGATGCAAAGTGTACTGCAGGGATCGGTTACCTTCTTGTCCGTAGGCCAGAAACCATGCTACCACCACCATTTCCAGGGGACATTGCTCATTGCTCTGCCTGTGCCAAGATGAAGCTGTCACCAAAATAGTCATGTTCTGTCCCAGTCTATGTAAGTCCTTGTTAAACTCACAAGGAGAAACCCTTCCTCCAACAAGCAGGCTGGAACGGCAGGAAAAAGCCAATCCCCTTTTATTATTCACAGACCTGAGTGGATGTCTAAGGCAAACAAACACAATTCAAACAAAACACAAAGCTGCCTTCGGCAACCAGCACCTCCCACATCTTCCCTTTTAGTATGCAGCCAAGGCATGGCTTCCTAATGCCTTCTCCTTTGCCTTTGGAGGCACCCCATTGCATTCCTCTGTCCTACTCTCTTTTCTTGCCGGTTTTTCCTGCATCCTGGATATCTCCCAGCTGTGATTCATCACTGTCCAACTCCAACTCCCAGCACAGCTGTGTCTCAGCCTGAGCACGAGTAGAGGGGGCCAGGCTCCTCATCAGACTGTAAGTCTTGGAGCTCCTTAGAGCCTTCCTCTGACTCTGATGTCACTTCAGGCTCCTCCTCCTCTGATTCCTCAGACTCAGCTGCCAGGTCCACTGGCTGGCGAGGAACCACAAGTCACGTGAGGAGGTGGTGGCACTCTTTCCTTCTCTCGCAGGCCAGAGGAATATATTTCTTTTTGCAACTATGAGTCAGATAATCATGACCACATTCATCATGCAGACCATAGGTTGCCAATCCCTTATATTCCGCAGATAAAGGGACACAAAACAACTGGGTCACAAATAGAAAAAAATCTGCAATCTGATTGGGTGGTATTGTGATTTTGGGGATTTTTTTTCCACTAGGAGCAATTATTATGCCCATATCAGGTAAAGCAGAAATGATGGTAACGTAAGGAAATATATTGCTAAATATTTACTAGAAAATTAACAGTGAAGTCTGAGCCTTTGAGAGAGTGGAGATGTCCGGAAACTGCAAGTTATCAAGTTATGTTTAAATTATCTTCAGTATTTATGATAATTTTGTGAGAGGAGAGAGAATGCGGATGTAAGACTTTGTTTTACTAAGAATATGTTTTTGTTATGTGTGTTTCTTTCACAGTATACTTACTGTAACCTATCTCCTGTTCATGCAGGTCTTGTTTTGAAAGACAAGCTGTAAATATTTCAGAACATTTGATAACGGTGCATTTAAAAAACTCTAATAATAGACCAATTACTTAAGAATTAGGATCTTTCTAATAGACATGATGAAACGGATACTAAAATGCTTGTGTAGTTAATTTGCTATTTAAAATGAAATTTAATAAATGAGGCTATATCAGAATTACATTTATGTCGGCTGGATGACGCTGGGCCAGTCAGGCCTAGCAAGGAGGCAGTGGCCAACCACATCTGAAATCTTGCCAAGAAAACTACAGGGACTTCTCCAGGCAGTTGCCAGGAGTCACCCATGAATTGAAGGCATGTGCTCACACACAAACATACACATATGCTGATTGTTACTTTTTATCTGTTTTCAGAGGTGACTTTTTGGAACAGTAATATCAGTACTATGGAAGAAGATAATTTGGAATCTGTGACACTGGAATCTCAGTCTAACATGGAAAATTCTTCTCTTGGTAAATTATTTTATTTAGGGCAGAAAATTTAATAGGAGCTAAGCATTATTCCCACTCTTTTGCTTAGTCTGCGAATGCCAAAATTGCATCACTGCATTGGCTGCTTTTGATGAACTCAATGGTTTGGATTCTAGTAGTTTGGAGTACCTATTCTTTCTAGGACGGGTAGGCAACCTTGGTTCTTTTACGACTCGTGGACTTCAACTCCCAGAATTCCTGAGCCAGCATGGCTTAGCTTGGAAACCTCTCTTCCCTCAGCATGGCTGGCTCAGGAATTCTGGGAGCTGAAGTCCGCGAGTCATAAAAGAGCCAAAGTTGCCTACTCCTGTTCTAGGGGAACATAGGAGTTTAGCCCTAACTCTGAATTTATCATTCAGAAACTGACTTTTACATACCCATACAACAGCATCAGGCATTCTCCCTTCATATTTTCTGGATCATTATTGCCAGGACAGTCAACTGTTGTAATCATATGCCGACTATGACCGTGGTAATGTGACTGCACTTTCCTTACTGATAAGGATGATGCGGCTTCAGGTTGTGTACACAGGCATCAAGAATCAGAAGTAGCCCTCCCCCCCCCAACAATAATCAAATTCTGTCCTTTATAAAAACATTAGAATGGGGTCATCAGGTAGTTGAATTTTTCAAAGAGGTACAGGTAGTCCTCGACCTATGACCACAGTTGAGCTCAGAATTTATGTTGCTAAGTGAGAAATTGGTCAGGTGAGTTTTGCCCCATTTTACGACTTGCCACGTTTGTTAAAGGCATCACTGCAGTTGTTAAGCGAATCTGGCTTTCCCCATTGACTTTGCTTGTCAGAAGGTTGCAAAAAGTGATCACATGACCCCCGGGATACTGCAACTGTCATAAATATGAACCAGTTGTCAAGCATCCGACTGTAAATGGGGATGCTGCAACGGTCATAAGTGTGAAAAATGGTCACTTTTTCAGTGCCATTGTAACTTTGAACGGTCACTAAATGAACTGTTTGTAAGTCGAGGATGTATTTCTAATGATGGGATAAGAAGGTATATTTAGTTTCATACACTATAAGTGAAGCGAGGCTATATATATATATATTATGCCCTTAAAAGCATTTTGACAGAGAATACTCGCAGTATTCCATATTTCTCCCAGTGTGCTGTGGCTTATGGAAGTGATACTCTATTTATAAAAGACATCATTCTTTCCCTTTATTAGCTGCAGATGACAAAGATGAACAAAGCAATGAGGATGAACAAAAAACTGTGAAACCCACTAGCAAGGAGTTCAGGAAAACGTGGGGGTTTCGTAGAACTACCATTGCAAAGCGAGAAGGCTTAGGGGATGCCGAGATGGACATTGCTGAACAAGCATCTCCTCAGCAGCAAAACCTGGCTCCTCGCCGTAGTGGACGACAGCCCAAGCGTACTGAACGGGTGGAAGAATTTCTCACAACCGTGAGGCGCAGAGGGCGGAAGAATCTTCCCGCCACTCTTGAGGACTTCAATGAGCCCGCTTCTTGCCATGTGACCGATGTCGAAACTGCTTCTGAAGGCAGTGTAGACAGTATGCCTGATATAAAAAACGTACCTCAAAAGAACCGTTCTAATGACAGCAAAGGCCAGCTGGCTCGAAAAGGTAGAAGCGCGAAAGAGCACGATGAGGAAGACGATGAGGAAAATACCTCTGATACCGATAGCGATGGGTTAACTTTGAAAGAGTTGCAGAACCGTCTGAGAAAGAAACAGGTTGAAGAGAAACCCTCGGAGCTGACGCTGAAAGAGATGCAGAATCAACTCAGGAAGAAACATCAAGAACAGATTCCTGCTGAGGCAGCAGATATCCAGACCAGCAGCCAAATTAAGCATGAAATGACTGTAAAGCAAGAACCAGGAGCTACAGATAATGCTGAGGCTGGAGAACAAGGGCCTGTCTCCAAGGAAACCAGTGAAGCAGGTCAGATTAAGAAAGAAATAAAATGTGCTTCACAGATCATCGATGAACTTGAAGAATGCACAAAGGGCAAATCGGAAGCAGAAGTATACGACCCCAGTACGCTTTACTGCATCTGTCAACAGCCTCACAACAACAGGTATTCTTTATAAATAATGTCAAAAGTATTTCATAATATGGTCCAGTAAACATTTGAGAAATTTGACTTTACTCTAAATCAGTGTTTCCCAAACTTGACAATTTTAAGGCATGTGGACTTCAACTCCCAGAATTCCACAGCCAGCATTGCTGGCTGTGGAATTCTGGGAGTTGAAGTCCTCATGCCTTAAAATTGTCAAGTTTGGGAAACACTGCTCTAAATGAATGCTTTATTAAAGATCAAAACACAGTTTTCATCTTAGTGCTTTTACCAACAAATGCTATAGATAGTGATGATAGAAAGGGGAGAATGGAGAATTAAATGATGATGGAAACAACTGCTTATTAATTTAGATGTATGAGAACAATAGCATGTTTTAAATTTCACTGCCACTTCAGGTCATTTCTGAAACAGTTTGGTTTCTCGCTGACTGTATTGTACCGTAGTAAAAACTCAAGACGTTGAATGCAGAAAGAGGCTATATAGCCAAAGCTGGCAGAAAAAATAGCTAGTTTCAAAAATGGAAATAAAGGCCATAGGAACATTGTTCTTATGGGATATATGTAGGTGGCATACAAAGAGAACAAAGCTATGAATGGGTGGACACCTCAGTAGAAATCCTAATATAAGCCAAAACTTGATTTCATCTTTTACTAAATTCTGTAAAGAAAGAAAGAAGTTGTACTCTTTTGGGAGTAAAAAATTTTTTTCTATGACTTGTTGGTTAAATTAATTTAACTTCAAAAGATATGTACAGCAGGGCATGCTACATATACCAAATCTGTTTGATATATGTTACTGATATTTTTTAATGTTTTTTTTAAAGGTTTATGATTTGTTGTGATAGATGTGAGGAATGGTTTCACGGGAATTGTGTAGGTATTTCAGAGGCCCGTGGGCGCCTACTGGAAAGAAATGGAGAAGACTATATCTGCCCAAACTGCACCATTTTGCAAGTGCAAGATGAAATAGTTACGGAAACAGATCGACAGGGAACTCTGCTGGGACAGGTAACAGGTGATGGCACAGAGTTCACCAGCATAGGAACTATTGAACAAAAGTCCATTGAGGATCAAGGCATCAAGGGTCGTATTGAGAAAGCTGCAAATCCAAGTGGAAAGAAAAAACTCAAAATATTTCAGCCTGTGAGTGTTCAAATTACTTAATTTAATTTTACTGAATTATTGATAAATTTCTGGTGGAAACATTCTGAGTTACCTGCTAAGTATATGTATGTGTGTGTTAATGTCATATAAAATGTTCAAGTTCTGACACCCTAGAAAAGAGCAAGACACGTCTTGTAAAATAAGACTTTTTGTAGTATAATTATTATTAAACTTACCAAAAATATAAAATTCAAGTAAAAATAAGAAAGTGGGAAGTTAGGGAAGGAGAGAAAAGAAAAAAAGGCATTAGCTTTCAACTCCTATTAACTGCAGTAGAATAAAAGTGGTAACATTATACAGCCTCAACTTTTTATTTTTGCATCCTTAATATATGCTAGCTATTTCTCTAACAACAAACCTTTCTAATCAGCAAATCCAAAAGTCAGAGATTCAATTATTGCACAAAAATCTAGAAATTGTTCCCTACTAGAAAGAAAATTGGATGCATTATTTTCTTTGATTGAAGCAGTTAATTTGGCCATCTCTGCAAGTTCCATTACTTTTTCTGGCCATTTTTCCATTGTGGGAAATAATTCTTAGCTCGCGTTTACCTTTGTATCTGATTAGGGGTTCAGTTACTTGTTCTGTGAATTTAATTTTCATCATACACAATCCAAGGTTCTAAGCCCCTCTTGAACACAATTGCTGAGCCAAGGTGGCGCAGCAGTTAGAGTGCAGTACTGCAGGCCACTTTAGCTGACTGTGTTCAGCAGGTCAGCGGTTCAAATCTCACCGGCTCAAGGTTGACTCAGCCTTCCATCCTTCCGGGGATGAGGACCCAGATTGTTGGGGGCAATGTAAATATATATATATACACACACACACACACACACACACACACACACACACACACACATACACATTGCTTACTGGTGTACCCCGCTTAGAGAGTGCTTGCACTTAAAGCGGTATACAAGTCTCATAAATAAATAAATTGCTGAAAATCAATAGCCTATTATTCTTTTTAAAGGTAATACAATGAAAATAATAATGTAAAATCTACATGGAAAAAAGCCTATATGATACAGGCCTCCAGTCCCATGGATTGTTATTTTGTCATAGTTCTTTGCTGAGACAAATCATTCCACCATGTTAAGAATAGAATAGAATAGAATAGAATAGAATAGAATAGAATAGAATAGAATAGAATAGAATAGAATAGAATGGAACAGAAGGGAACAGAACAGAACAGAACAGAGCTGGAAGGGACCTTGGAAGTCTTCTAGTCCAGCCTCCTGCTCGAGCAGGAGAACCTATACCATCTCAGACAAGTGACTGTCTAGCCCAGTGGTGGCGAACCTATGGCACGGGTGCCAGAGGTGCCCTCGGAGCCCTGTCTGTGGGCACGCACGCTGTCGCCCCAGTCCCAGGCCTTCAGCTGAGTTTTATAAAACCTTTTCGCTTTAGGCCTCCGCGCCATGTGTTAAAAAAAAAAAAAAGGTTCAGTCAGTCAATTTCAACTTCTAGCGGGAAAAAAAGGTCTTGCAAAGTTGGAATTGATTGAACTTTTTAGTCCCACCCAGTCTGCCGTTAGCACCGCAGCCACCCAGTGGGCCACGCCCAGCCAATGGGCCACACTCACCCGGCACTCGATGATGCATAAGTGGGTTTTGGGTTGCAGTTTGGGCACTCGGTCTCTAAAAGGTTCGCCATCACTGGTCTAGCCTCTTCTTAAAAACTTCCAGCGATAGAGCGCCCACGATTTCTGGAGGCAAGCTGTTCCACTGGCTAATTGTCCTCACTGTCAGGAAGCTCCTCCTTAATTCCAGGTTGCGTCTCTCTTTGATCAGTTTCCAATCATTGTTTCTTGTCCTGTTACGGCTTATGTTATTGCTTAGCATAATGTATTACCCTAGGAAAGGACAAGAAGTAGAATTTGATGGGGAGAACAGCAATGGAAAACTATATTTTATTTCTTACAATTTTTGCATGCTAGAAGCCAGACATTGACAATGACAGACAGGCCTATAATTACTTGCAAACACCTTTAATAAAGAAAGAAATTGACCTATTTGGAAGGAAACCAAACAGTTGACACCTTCATTTTCAGAGGGCTATATATAAAAGTATTAGTAAGCTAATTAAATTCTGCATTGTTATAGAGCTAAGTAAACTCTATTGTAAACACGGCCATAAAATATTTTCTGTATGCTACGTTTCAGGTGGTTGAAGATCCCGAAGCAGCCAATTGCATTGGCCCAGGATGCTGTAAGGTGGCTCAGACAGGTTCAGTATACTGTGGGAACGAGTGCATCCTTAAGCATGCTGCTGCGACCATGAAATTCCTCAGTGAAGGCAAAGAACAAAAACCCAAAGAGAAAACCAGGCCCAAGCCTGCTCTGATAAAACCTCAGACTATGGTAAGTCTGGATTCGCCTTAAATCACATAAAAGTAGTCCTTGAATTACCACCATTCATTTAGAGACTGTTAAAAGTTGCAGTGGCAGAGAAGAAAGTAACTTGCAGCCAACCTTCACGCTTATGGCCATCCCAGAGTCCTCAAAAGTAAAATGATACAGATCTGGATCCTTTCCAATCGGCATATATTTATGATCGTTATAGCATCAACGGGTTCATGTGATCATGATATGCAACCTTCCCAGCTGGCTTCTGACAGTCATTTGGGGACAGCTATAGATCGCTTAATGATCCTGGGATTCACTTAAAAACTGCAGTTACGCTCAGTTAACAAGCAAAAAAGGTCATAAAATAAAGCACAAGTCACTTAACAACTGCCCTGCTTAGCAACAGATACCATAGTCCCAATTATGGTCATAAGTCAAAGACTACTTGCAGTCTCTTGGTGATTGTTTGATTTCGGAAGACAAATGCCCCTGTATGGCAAAATATTTTTTATTATTTGCCCAACCTCTGTGCAAATTACTTTTGCCGTTTAGTATGCACTTAAACACAGTGCTTCCTGTATTCATGTAATCCTGGATACGTCACTCTTTTCTTGGTTTCTACTATTGTAAAGCCATTAGTGTGAGAAAGATTACAAACAGGAAAAAAAAGTGTTGGTCACAGAAAGGTCATTTGTCTTTTTAAAGGTTACCACATTCAAAGAGAAAAAGTATATAAAAAATATTTTTCCTGGAAAATGCATTTAGTATGACTTTTAGTATTTAGTGCCCTGTTTAAAAGCCCTCTGAAACCTGCGTAATTATTCCAGAATGCTTCCAACTCTTCTCTGACATAACAGTTTCATATTCCAATATAATTTCATAATTGAATACATAGCTATGTAACACTAGCTATAATTTTGATGATCCAGGCAATTCTGTAAGGGATGTTCATCCTGCTGTTGCATTGAAATAGCTAGCTCAGTTTTCTCAATTGTGGCAACTTTAAGATGTGGACTTAAACAACCAGAATTCCCCAACCAGGACAACTGAATTAAGCTTTAGTGCAGTGTTTCTCAACCTTGACAATATTAAGATGTGTGGACTTCACCTCCCAGAATTCCCCAGCCAGTCTTGTGTGGAATTCTATCATGTATAGTTGTATTTTTAAAAAAGGAGAGTATTAATATATAAAAATACAAATGAAATACATTTTTCAATATTATGTAAATATTAACATCAAATAAATTAATAATGAACATTATAAATGCATTTATAATGCAGTATTACTTTCTAAAACTTTCATTTTAAAGTAAACATGAATAAAAACATTCATTTGCAACATAGTATTGGATACAACCTAAGGAGCAATATGAATACATTCTTGTACTATTGTATAAAAGATAATGTATTTCTTAAAAGGAAAAAAATCCTGCATCATACTGCTTAGGAGAAAAGGCACAAAAGAAAAAATTCTAGAAAATAATGAGTATAAATAACAAAAATATAAGTAAATAAAATCCAATCTACTTTATGTTTAATTCAAAATAATTAAAGATTAAGAAAACTATATACATATACATATATATGTATGTGTGTGTGTGTGTGTGTGTGTGTGTGTGTATATATATTTATATATATATATGTATATGTATGTATATATATTGTTAAACATTTTTCAATTTTATCATGGAGTTTTTGATCATAAAGAATCATTGTCCAGTATTTTCTCTCCATCTGGATATAACATTTAACAACATTAATAGTTTTGCAACAAAAATAATATACTGTACATTATCTCAATCATTACAGGTGTTCCTTTATATTTCTTCTCACCCTGTTTTTAACAAGTTTTCAGAGCAGCTGATTAACAGATTCATGAATATAAATATTTTTTAATACATCAAATGGTAGGAAAAAACCCCATCACCAAGCCATTCTTATATGTATTCCCCCCCCCCCCCCGGACAGATTTTTTTGAATTAAGTTTGTTTTTACAACAACTGTATAGTAAATTTTAAATTTTTTAGCATATTCCTGAATGGGACAATTCTTATGCTTATTGTATTATTGAAGATTTTGGTCAAGCTTCACATTTTTCTTCATAATTGAAGGTATAATTAGATCTTGATTGCTATCAGAGTAGCAGCATCAACGGTTTCGCTAAGCCAAACACTTAGTGAAATGTTTTTGTCTTTATTTAAGGGTAATTAATGTGTGTCAGAAGTGATTTCAAGTTGGTAGGTAAAGATTTTTGGATTAGTCTGCTAGAAAGTCAAACACTTATCAGCAGGAAATATTTTAAGGATATGTGCAGAATGAGATGTGATTTCTGCTTGAAAAAGTATAGTGTATCTTTTTGCATAACAATATTTCCGGTATATCTAAAATGATTTGCCCTCTTCCTGTGTCATGATGATTTTGTCATTGCAACATATAGTGATTAGGGGGTTCTGCTGGTTATACAGGCGGGTACCAAACCTTTGTCCATGCAGAAGAGGCCAGTTGCTGAGAAGAGAGAGATGATCATGAAGAAAACACCAGTGGCCATTATTAAGACAGAAGCGAACGCTCAGACAGTTGCTAAAGAGCCAACCCCAGAGAGCAGCACGCCATCCTGGGCCAGCGATCATAATTATAATGCAGTAAAGCCAGAACAGACTCCTGCCATTTCACCAGCACTGTTATTCAAATGTATGTATTTTCCAGGGATATTCTTCTGCAGTCGTTTATTCTTCCTATAAATACATTTTCAATTTTGGGGCCAGCAAAAAAAAAAAAAAAAACGGAAAGGGATTTTAATGGCTCCCTTGCTCTATCTTCAAAGATTGACACACATATTTCTCAGGGAAAATTCCTTGCATAGTGTTAATAGCAACTCGGGTGTTCTCGTTTAGTTGTATGTAATTGGAATTTAATCTGCAACGGCAGGCATAGTTTTCTCTATGTACTCCATAGATGGTAGCTATAGTCTAACAGAAGGTAGGTAAAATCATTTACAATATTAATATTATTATGTAATATACAGAGTAATTGTATCGACTGTTGAGATTGGGCCCTTGTTAGTCCTTTGCATTTTGACTTGGAAAATCCCTTTTAAGGGATTTGAACCATTAATTTACCTCTTTACACAAACACACCTTTTTATCAGTTTTGAGGAAAAAACTCCTACCAAGAAAATGAATCTCCTGAAGTGATTCCAGAAGCCCAGCATAAATCCAGATGCTTCTTTTTGTTTTTTGCTTTTTAAAAAACATGAAAGCTATGTGCTATAGAAGTTCTCTTCAGAACAGGAAAGTAGACTGAGAATTCTCATCTTATATATAAGTATACAGAATATCTTTAACATCTTGGTAGCTTATGAAGGTAAGTAAATGGATGCTTGATAATGTAAAACCATTATTTTAAGAACTTTTTACCCTTCTGTTTAAATATGTTGCAGTCTGGATTTTGCATTTTTCATTTCTGATGTATTATTTAAATCAATGCGAACCTTGATAGGATTCTGGGCATGCAAAAGAATTGACTTCATTTTTTCCATAACCTCTGATGGCTGAGTTTGGCTACATCTTTATAACCATTGGAAGATGACTTTGGTGAACCCCCCCCCCCCCGGAGCAATCGAGTTCCTAGGCTTGACGAGAAACTATCCAGAATATCTTCCTGTTCCCCTTCACACGAGGGGTATAGTCCTCCATGTTTACAGTTCTTGCTTGATGGTCATAAGAAGAAATACTTTGTTTCTAAGGCTTGTGAATCTTGAACCCTTATTTTAAACCCCTATGACATTTTCTAGGAGTGTCATAGAATCATAGGGTTGGAAGGGACCTTGGAAGTCTTCCAGTCCAACCTCAAATAGTTTTTTCTCCGTCTTTTCATTAATTGAGACGACCAGTTGAACATTTCCAAAAGGAATTGATCCCTTCTGTATGCATATTAGTAAATTTGTTACAGCAGCAGCCTGAAAGTAGCGCTTGTTTTTCAGCATACATGGGTTTCCCTTCCTGCTACTCTCATAACTGTATACTTGTTGGGCAGTTTGGGCACTAACAATTATATTTTTCATATAAGTATTCTTATAAGTAGGATAATAACAAAATTGGAGCCTTTTTCTAAAAAGACCTAAACTTTCTAAAGTTAAAACGAGATCTGTAGCTTGGTCATGTTTTTACGGTCGCTGATGGACACAGAAATGAATGCATTCAATTCAGTTTATGTTTAGTGAAGAACTTCCACCATTTTAAGACATTTTGGCTTGACTTTGAAGGTAAGTTAATTGCTGTCTTGAAGTTCTTTATGTCTGTAATAAACATACATACATACATTAAATTAGCTCTGTTATCCTGCAATGATTGAGGTTGTCCAAGAAAGAGTTACTTCTTTCTCTTAGTGTAGGAGAGTTAAGCAATATTTGTAATTAGTCATTAATGGTTAGTATAGTGAGTACAGTATGAATTAACCATATACAGGGGATTGTTAGTAATAGTAATAGTAGTAAAGTTGGAAGGGACCTTGGAGGTCATCTAGTCCAACCCCCTGCTCGGGCAGGAAACCATAGTTCAGACATGTCAACCACAAGGCCCGGGGGCCAGATGCGGCCCACGAAGTGGTTTCATGTGGCCCGTGAAGCCATCCTGGAAACAGTGAGGGAATGGCCCCCGCTGCCTTGGCCCTGGCCCAGGCTGGCCGGGAGCCAATGTACAATTTTGTGGTGGCCATCTATGCTGAAACGCATTCAGTCTTAGTTCCACAAGGCCGTCTGGAAACAGCGAGGAACCAACCCTGCCGCGTCGGCCCCACCCTCTGGGTGCATGCTGGAAAGGTGTCACCCTTTGTGAGGAATGAAGAAATGCACCATCGCCTGGAAGTGGCCAGCAAATGGCCCTCGCCTACTTCACATATCCGGGCTCTGCCCTGGTCCCACCCCTTTCTGCCAGAGACCCTCAGATCTGTCCCACCCCTGCACAGGCCCCCACAGACCCCCTTGACACGAATGATGTAGAGCTGGCCACACACACCCAGTAGGCCACACCCACTCCATCCACGCCCACCCAGTAGATCGCACCCCCCTTGGCCACCACCCCCGAGGGCAACCGCAATGCTGATGCAGCCCTCAATGAAATTGAGTTTGACAGCCCTGCCATAGTTGAATAACAGAATAACCTGGCTCCAGTTGCATTTGTATCCCTGTTTATTATTCACAAATATGTAAAATAACTTAAAATGTGTGCCTTTGATACCTAAACTGGACACTAATGTCCTCAGAGTGTTGGGAAGATCTCCGCTGTAATATCTGGACTTCAGGGTTGTTGTGATTTTTATTTTGAGAGGGGGAAAAGACTTTAATCTTAATTAGATGTTACATCTTTGAACTGTATTATCCAGCTGAGCTAAATCTCAGGTAGCCTAATGCTTAATTCTAAAAAAATTGTTCTTGATAGAGGTACAAATGAGAAGAATTAACAGATAACTCTAGTGGTCAGTTCTTTGAGAGGAAAAACACCATATATATTTTTTCCTAGTAGATCAAGGAAAGTCAATAATGCTTTTAGAAGAGAAGGCAGAATAGTTTCAGCACAGTAGTGCATCAACATGTTATTAGGCCTGGAACACTAAATTCTATCTTAAATTTAGCTTGAAAGGATTGCCTAATAAGTCATTAAGAAAGTTACGAAATTAGATAACATTTACGATTTGAGGTTAATTTAGTATTTTATAATATCCTTTACAATGATACAAGAGGTAGTGAATCATTTACTTAATTTGGACCATGAATGTAAGTTCCTTATATCTAAAACCAACTGCCAAGCTATTCCACAGTTCTGGAATTTATGTCAAAACAAATGAATATGCTGATTAGATTAGGGAATGGAATTCCCAAATACTAGCACAGCTGCACTATAAAAGCAAAGACAAGTCACAACTTGTCCCTGCTGTAATGGTATCTTTTATTTTGTATTAGTATTTCAGGGGCTGCTCTTTATTCTTCATTAGTGAATGAAATAGGGTGTTGTTTTATTTATTGTATCATTCTGCAGGTGCATTGCTTCTTAGCCTTTGACATGGCCTTGGGATAAATGTAGTCACAAAAATGATGATTTTGAGCATCCAAATAATGGACAAAATCATAACATGGTAATAAGCTTTAATTGGAAATCCAGCCAGTATATCCCAAGGATAAGACTTGTGCCACCCACTGGGGAGGAAAATATCCCACATTCTACTGTTTTCATTACTTTGATTCTGGCTGTCCAGATTGTTTAATCTCATTTCACATCTCATTTTCTCAGACACAGGGAAAGGGGAAATCTGTAGTATGACTAGAATCAACAATCAGTAGCTGCCTAGAGTAAAAAAAAAAAAAAAAGTCAAGGGCAGATATGTAAAGGAAAGAAAAAATTGCAGTGAATGCTTTAAAATAATTGAAAAGCTGTTTTTTTTTGTAAAAAAAAACCTAAAAGAGGCTATAAGTAGCTAGATAAATCAAACTAAAACAGATACGCAATTAAGAGTAGGAAATAAACCCTTCACAAGACAAAAAAAATATTTTAAAGAAAAGAAATCATTGTGCTAATCCAGATTAAGTCTGTCTTTATTGGAGAAGCAAGCAGTAAAAATTCTGATCCTTTATCATCACAAACAGTACCTTGCTCTCTGTTACGGTTTTGCATAACAAAATGTTCTATATGGAGGGTTTATAAGATAGCAATAGCACTTAGATTTATATACCGCTTCATAGTGTTTACAACCCTCTAAGCAGTTTACAGAGTCAGCATATCACTCCTCATTTTACTGACCTCGGAAGGATGGAAGGATGAGTCAATTTTCAGTTGGTCAGGCTCAAACTCCTGGCAGTGGGCAGAATCAGCCTGCAATACAGCATTCTATCCACTGTGCTACCAGGACTCTAGCATATTCTAAGATGGAGCTGGGATAGGATAGTAAGGATAACATTTAGGATAATAAGATATTATTCCCTGACAGAAAATACTCCAGGGACTAAATGTATCTTACCTTAGGACATGCTTATAGTTGCTCTGAGTTATGTAGCATTTAGGAATCAATACAATAATCTGTGCATAAAACCTAAGAATAACTTAATTTTTGTTTCTGAAAATAGTTTAGAGACAGTTGAGTTGCCTTTGTTAATTTGTATTAGAGAATCAGTGGTGACATCAGAGTGCTATTATACATTTACCTTTATAATTGGAACTTAACAGTGACTAGATCAGTAGGAAAGTTCTCAAGGTTTAGCTTGAATATTCAGAGGTACAGGAAACAGTCCTACATCTAACAATAATGAGGCTCTTTGAACGCTGTGTTCAAGGACAGGAAATCAGCATTTTCCAGAGACATCAAATTTATAACTTGAAATTTATAACTTAATTCTTTACAAGTTAATTCTTAAAAAGTTCTGCACCTTGGAGCACTACAGGCAGAATGCAAAGATTGATATGAAATTATTAAAAACACGGTGTTTAATGGGATTAAAGAGAATCGGGGTTAAATTTTTACCTAAACAAGTGCACTTGGGAGCAAAGGGAATGGATGAATTGCTCCATTACATTTTTCAGGAATGCTCAAATTATTTGAGGCGTCTTTGAGCCTTTTCTTAGCCAAATGCTGAATGTTATTACTATGTATAATATGTTCTGTTTTTTTATCATTTTCTTAAGCTGGCTGAATAAGTCATTAGAAAACTTTCACCTCTTCCTTCCCCTCAAGTAAAAGGGGTTCTCCATGCTGGTGTATCGTATATCCTGTATTAGAGACCAGGAATCAGATCCAGACTGCTGTGGTGGCTTCTGTTGTGCCCGAAAGCAGCGAATGGAAGCTGAAGAGGCCCTCCGTGGAGCAACATCTTCAAGACCTACCTGAGGAAATTTAAGCGGTGGGCTGCACCAGATAGTGGGGGTGAAGTGTACCAGCTGCAGAATCACACACAAATCTGCACTGGGAGTGGGTGGGAAAGAAAAGTATATAGATCGTTCTTACCCCACAGGCCAACAACTGAATATTTTGAATATTCCGGGAAGACATATAGTCTTGGCCCCAGACCACCTTCAGCCCAAGAGGCACCAATTGAGTGTTTTGTAATTGGTGTGGGTCTTGAGTGATTCACTTGGAAAACCAGGCTTCCTTTCCTGTGTTTAGTAAGACACCGATGATAACGTTCGGTAAAAATCATGCAACCTCTTGCATTATTCCAATTGACTTGAAAACGGGTACCTCTGCTGTTTTTGAAATCCTGTGGGAAACATGGACATACTATTTAAGCAATAGCTTATCTCTGTTTTGTTACGCATCCACCTCTCTGTAGCTCCCTGTTGGGGGAGGAGGCAGAGTGCCATTCCTCTGTTTTAAAGGTGGGTGAAGCATAGAGAAGTTGATGCCTTTTGTTTTAGTAGCAATGCCTTGATGCAAAAACCTGAAATCAAACCTGAATGTATGTAATGGCAAAGATGTATTTAATTAAGTTTTTAATGTTTGTAGCCTCCCCAACTCAACCAATGGTTATGGGTTCCATTTGTTCAAACTAGAGACAAAAAACAACCAAAGCTGACTTGAATCAAGAATGAACATGAGTGGTGTGGAATTAGGCAAATGCTCCTACACACATATCTCTTTCATTGTGCTTTTTATAAGGAGATCTGGGCATGAATCTGATAATGTCTTGTCGGATGTTGTGCCTGATACTTGGAGGGGTTCAAACTGGTGTTGCTTTCAAGTTGCATGAGGGCTTGGTGGGAGGATACAGTCAAGGGCTACCTTGAAAAGCACAACCCCTAGTAGTATCTTCCTCCAACCTCTGACATCTGCAGGTGAGGGTGACATCTGCAGAAGCTAAACATTAGGCTTGCAAGAGATATTTAAGTCCTTTTCAAGCATGCTGATATAGGAATTGGGCTCTGCAGTGTGATGTGCATCTTCTAATACAGTGCCCATGCAGGCGCAGTATGAAAAGCTGCTTGTGGTAAGTAAATTTGTAGAGTGTCTACACTGTTTGTTTGTCTAAGATTGTTTTTCAGGTGAATAGAAGTGCATGGAAGAGGCTTCCTTTTGTGAGTAAAATACCCCTTCAGCCAAAGTTCGAGCTGCTCATTTCATAATTTTGGGTGGGTTTTGAAGTCTCTTGGTCCCCCAGGTTTTATTCACTCCTCTGGGAGTCTTATTTCATTCCATGTGTGTACAGATCATTAAAAAAAAAAAAAACCTGTGTTAAAATAGATTGGTATAATTTTATAACTTGTCAGTACATAAATAAAAACAAAACTGTGGGAAGTCAACTGTTAACCACATTTAATTAAACACATTCATGTTTTAGAGGCCAGAACGAAAGAGGAAAATTTCAACTTCAAATCATAGCAGCATGGCAAAAGAGCGATCTACTCAGACTATCGGCACTTGAAGGGGGGCTCTGTGTCTGTAGTCCATGGGTAGGCAACCTTGGCTCTTTTATGACTCGTGGACTTCAATTCCCAGAATTCCTGAGCCAGACACCCTGAAGAGACAAGCCAGTGCTGTGGCTCCTGAGTAACCAGATGTGAAGTGCATGTTTTTACAGCACCCTCTTTGTGTATGTGTGAGAGAGAGGGAGAGAGAGAGAGAGACTATTCCTTTAGACCAGGGGTAGGCAACCTTGGCTCTTTCATGACCCGTGGACTTCAGGAATTCTGGGAGTTGAAGTCCACGAGTCATAAAAGAGCCAAGGTTGCCTACCCCTGCTGTAGTCCATTAGCTTAGCCAGCATTCCAGTGTTTCATTCCCCAGAAGGTAATGGTACAGTCCAAAGACGATGGCTTGGCTCATTTTTGAGAGGAGGGTCAGAATTCAGGATTCTCAGCACTGTGAGCTGTTTGCTTGTATCCTGGCTGTAGCAGAATTGGAATAAGGCCTCTAGGGGTTTTAAGTCTGTTGCATATTTCTCCACTACTCCCTGCTTTACAGAATGGATACCTGGGGGATAAAAAAACAAAACAAAACCTTGAGATTCCCACGAACCAGCTACTGTGGAAATCATTAGAATATTGCAGATTATTTATTTGCTGCCCGTCTTGCCCCGAGAATATTGCAGATCATTTTAGATGGATAAATAGCACACATCTTTCCCCAGAAATCAACGTAATAAATACATTTTATTTTATAAGTCAGTTGGTGCGCAAAATCTCAGTCAACCTTTGTAAAGCTGACACCAAAAAACCCTGAAAATAGATGATAAAAAACCCTGAAAATAGATGACAAGCATCCTCGAGTCCTCTTTCCTATATTGCCAAATCCCCTCTTTCGTGGTTTCCTTTCAGAAGTACTTTGGAAGCTTCGATGTTCTGAATTGTAGGATCTCATTGATCTTTTCCAGTGCAGTGTCTACCCTACCACATTCTCTTGGCCCTTGCCTCTCATTTCACATTTGCACTGTTGCTGGTTTTCAGATTATGTACCAAGCCCTTGTAACAAAGCAGTTCTGTGTGCTGGTCAACAAGATGTCACCAGGTCTGCTACTAATGTATATTTTACTGAAGAGGATGAAATAGCAGAATTCAAATAGGCCCGTCTTGTGTACAAACAGTTCCTATATAGTTTAGATCAGGGGTAGGCAACCTTGGCTCTTTTATTGACTCGTGGACTTCAACTATGCTGGCTCAGGAATTCTGGGAGTTGAAGTCCACGAGTCATAAAAGAGCCAAGGTTGCCTACCCCTGGTTTAGATTAATGGTAGTCGTATTGTCAGCAAGACATTTCATTTTTTTTTCCTCTTTTTTTTTCTTGATTTGTTGCCATGATTCCACCTGAAACAAAAAACTAAGGCTAAACACACCCTACAGTAAATTGAAAATTCCTTGCTGGGCTTAGCTAATGTGTGAATCCAAGTAGTATGGTTTATAAGGCATGATTTTTGACAATAGTGTGCGACTTATCCACTTCAAAAGTAGCCATTTTGATTTTCTTTCTCAGAATATTAATAGTGTCTGCTGCACTGATCTGGCAGTGTGTTTTTGTTTTAGATATATAATTCTGGGAATGTTCTGTGAGCAGAATAGGTTACCCATATTCAAATGTAAGATTAAAGATGATTATAATTCCATCTGAATCCGCAAAATGCTTAACATATCCTGTCCCAGTGGTGCTTCACCTTGGAATAGGTTAGGTGTTTTGATTTAATTGCGATTTTTTTTTTAAGAAATTTGTCTTCAGTGAATCAGGGGGTGATTTGGAAAAGACATAGCTTAGATACAAAGGCTGCCTTCATACTTCTCAAAATGGGCATAATTTGTTACAATACCTTCAGTTTGTCTTGACTCAGGTAGACACAGACCAATTGTTAGCCATTTTATGCAGAGGTAGCAGTTGAAACACCCACAAACCAGGTCTGGGCTTTAATCCATCACCATCTTGTGGACTATCTCCATGGATTGTGCACAGATCTGTCTCAACATGAGGGACCATATCACTTCAGCATGTAACTAAGAGGCCAAGTGGCTTTCTGTCCATGGGATGAGATGAAATCTAGGAATCGGATTTGCCACTCCAGGAAAAGGGATCTCATGCAAGGAATCAAACCTAAGAATGATCAGATGCTCTCTACCTGGTGGATCTCCACAAAAATCTGCAAATCCAATTCATTGGGTCTGCTTATTAAGGAGGAAAGGAAATTAAGAGAAAGGTATCTCCCCTTCAAAGGTTAATACTCGATCTTCAGATACTTTCCAACCATTCAATATTGTCAGGTTCAGCATAGCAACCGTTCCCACAGTGGAATTAGTCACAGAATAGGATTGTTTTGCCCTGCTTTGCCACTTAAAGCCAATTAGCTTAATCTGGGCCATGCATCCAGAAGATGCTTTGAATCGGTGGCAGGCTGTCTGCTGTTCCTCTTGGCTTTGCTCTACGGTGATCACCCAGCCTCTTTCTGTGGCTGGAATATCACCCAAGATGATGTCACAAAATGAGAATTACGAATGAATATCGGAAGTTCCAGAACTGAAGTGTCAGTTGAAGGCAACTTTATGACTGTCTTTCTCCCCTCTCCTAAATCATTCTCGGCTTTAGGGGCACTTTCACAGCATGTCAGTTTGGACATGAAAATTCTTGTGCTAATTATTCTGGCTGGGAAAGAGTATAAAGTGCAACAGGATGAATAAATCTCTATCTGCCAGAACTTAATTGTCCCCCAGAGTAATAACATGATCCACCTATCCCCACGAAAGTGGTGAATACTTTCTGAAGTTGAAAAACTAAATAGTGTGGGTTTGTCAGGCTGTTCAGGATGGGTGCAATTGCATGCTTTTAAAAGAATGGGCTGGCAGCTGAAACGGCAACGCCACCCCACCTCCCAGCTTAAATAAGCAGTGTAGTTGATCTAATGGGATTTAAGAAGGCTGTTTGGCTACAAATGAAGCCCAAGCAATGCCATGGACCTGATAATTAAAGCGATCTCCAAAGAAAGAGCATGCTTTAAAAGTACTGTGTAGCAAATTACAAGCGTGTTCATGGCATGCCTAATCTCCCTGAAGTATATTTGATTGTTTTGTATAGTTATCAAAATAAAAATAATTGGATTTAGCTCCAAGCGTAAGAATACTTGGCTACAGCAGTCTGCTGCTCAGTAGATCTGCTAAGGTGATTGTGTTACAGGGAAATTTATTTAGAGAGAAGTTTGTGCTGTCTGAGCCAAGCTCTGTCTACTCCCATTTTATTAGCCAGGCTACGGAGTGCAACTTTGCAATGGAAAATGGCTTGCTTCAGGACTGACCACAATCACCTGTGTGTCCCACGCAAGGATAAACCACCTCTTTTGTATTTTGCACTTTAGAAACTGAAAACCTGCCGTGTTGACCAGACCTCCCCCTTTGTCCTTACTGTGTATGGGATGCAGGTACACACATTGTCGTTAAACAGCAGAAGAAAAGCAACAGGCTTCCTTTCTCAGAGAAAGCGCCCAAGGGCAATGGCTCAAAAATTTTGACCGAAGGGAGCCCAAATACCTAAGGTTCTGAGTTGCATTCTAACAGTGGCATCATCCAGTAATGTAAAATCAGATTGTGGCACTACCATCGCCTCAAGATTTTGAAAGTGCTTATTTGTTTTTTGTTTTTTTTAAATGGAAACCTATCACACTTTAAATCAAAGGGCAGGTTTCAGTTTTCAGTGGATGCTAGCCAACAAACATTTAAGGCCCCTTTGGCCTGTATATTTTAAAGTTTATGATGCCAACTTGCATTTGAAAGGGTGAAGCAGCAGTAGTAGTGGCTTGGTGTGACTTGGGGCTTATTGTGGAATCACGTTCCCTTCCTCTCTAACCCTCTGACTTCATTTTTGTGCAGATCTTGCTTCAATTCACCACAATTTTCCCTGTTGCAGAAGTGCAATTATGCGTCCTAGGGGCGAATGGTTCAAAATACACTTAAGTTGCTCCCTTTTAAAAGTTGGGGTGGTGGTTTTAGCTCGCTTGGTCTTTCCCTGAAAGAGCAGGCAAAGGAAAGAGTGAGCTTTTGGGGGGTCGCATCTGGGCCTTACAGAGATGTAGCCATAGTTAGAAGGTGGGTAACACGGCAAACTGGTTAATCTGAAGCAGTAATGACAAAACTTCCAAACTCCTCAAAATAAGGAATGGGGACAGGGCCTGAGAGTGCAGAAAGAGGCAAGGCTGTCGCAGTTCATTGATTCCTAATTGTCCCTGGCATTGACAAGCAGCAAAGTCAACACTGCTATTAGTTTCCTGTTCATTCCTCTGCACTGTTCCTTTCCTGAATGCGCAGACCCTGGTCTTGGGGCAGCTGTGGCCTGCTGCTTCCTGTGAAGGAATGTCAGAAAAACAGTCTGATTCTCATCAGCTGCAATCCAGGCTAAACCAGCCCTCCCCCCTCAGTTCAGGGTCAGGGAGAGCCCCTGTGCCTCAGGCTGGGACTTATTCAAACATGCTGGGGAGGGTGGGTGCCGTCTTGACGGGGCCAGAACCAAAACTAGATTCATCTTAATTGTACTGTTGCAATCCTTAACTTATATAATTTTAGTTCCCATTTCCCTGCTGTCATATTCAAAACTGCCCTTCACAGCCAGGGCCTTTCTGTGTTCCATCTGCGCAGAGAGGCAGTTATGCCTTTCAGAGCTAAAGGAATTCCCTGCGCTAAAAGTTAGCGATGGAAAGGTTTCTTTTCTCTCTCTTTAAAAAAATCTACTCAAGAATTAATTTTCACTCATCCTGAAATGCAACTGACAAAAGACTTTCTGCACCGGGTGCCATAAGCGAACAACAGGCATTCTCTGTCATTGCTGGACAAAGGCATTTGGCAGATGTTTGGAGAAAACCTTGGCCGTTGGCCAACCCCTCCCCCTCCTCCCCCATGTTAATACCACTTACTATATATTAGAGTGCCATTCGTTCATCTTTGGATTTGTAGCACGTTTACCTAAAAAGCTGGCCACTGCTATCCATGCCTGTGGACTTCTGAAGCCCTGAATTTCAATGAGAGCCAATGCAACCATATTTCTTTCAGTTAATGCAGTGTGACTTTCTCCTTTTCACAAGACTTTTGGAAGTGCTAACAGTCGTCCCTTGAAAAGATTGCACTGTGTCTTTCAAACATCTTTAAAATGCGAAGAATGGAATTTTTCTTCAAGACTTCCAAAATGCAGTTCTTTTTGGCAGGCAAATGGATGATCCCTCTTGCCTCTTGAATCCCTGAAGGATTCATTACCAGTTCCCAAGCTGCTGTTTCTCCTTAAAGGGAAAAGAAATTTTTTTAAAGCCGTCCCTCTCCCTGGAAGTTGGCCACCCATGGCGCCATTTACTCCAAAAGGGGGGGGGGGATGGCCTTTCTATTTTATTCCTAGAAACTGTAAATGTAGCAAATGTCACCACTTCCATAATTTATGATTTGTCTGCTCAAATGCCAGACTGCCAAATAGTGTTAAATTTGTCTTGCTCAGATTGGACTTGTCTGAATGGAAATAATCATATTAATTTATGCTGGCTGGTTGCACTATTCCTGGTCAGCTGTCCACCCGGCATCTTGAGCCTTGGGAGGTACAATCACCATTGGACTTCTTCATGAACTGTTTTTATACATCCCTCCCTCCCTCGACTTTCAAGCCTTAGTTTCCTTCTCACAATTGCTGGGTCAAGGCTGAAGTCTACAGCTGCTGCTTGTGCTCACCTCTGCTATTCAGCTGGTCTTTCAAGAGCTGATCCCCATTTCCTGAAATGGAAGCATTAAAAAAAAAAAGGCTTGGGTGCAATTTGAGACCTAATCTGCTCCCTGATGGGAGGGTTTGGGGGGGGCGGTTTGGAAGGGGGGGTTGTTTGCATACGAATGGTATTTGAAGATGCAGCCTGGTTCTTTTTTTTTTCTCCTGGCCTGCTTTTTTCAAGATGCTGACCACCAATCTGAATTCCTAACGGGGAGGAAAGTGGATCCTTGCCTCTTAGGAGCTCATCTCTCCTTTAGTTGGTGTAAAATGATGAGCAGCAGCAGAATCGTGAAGATGAGCCCACAGGAGGGGGCAATCCTCACTGAATTTCATTCCTCCCGTTGGGGACCCCTCTCCCAGTAAGATTGGGATCGGCTGTCCTAACATTTTATTTCATTTACCTTGCTCCCTGTTATTTTTTTTATTAAAAAGTTTTACAAAAATTACAAAATATACCCCAAAACCCACCCCTGTACCCCCCCTCCTCCTCCCCCACTTCCCAGAACTGAATACAGGGTAACAAATATAATAATCATAATCTAACATTAACCAACTATATAGATAAACAAATATAATGCGCTTTAACTCCCCTTTAACAGAATAAACAATTTGCAAATAAACTTGATCATATAAACAAATTAAAATCCTAGTTCATAAACAATTCCTTGCCGACTATAGAAGAATGGACCTTTAAGGTCTCAAATTTAGCAGAAATGGCAAAAATTTCGGCTTATTTGAAGGATCATTCACAAGAGATATATTTCGGTTTGGAGAAGATGGATAGATTATATTCAGAATAAATATGGGACTAAAATGTTCCATTTACTTTATGAATAAATTTTAGAATATTGTTATTATTAATAATAGTTTATTATAGTGAATTTTTTATTATATTGTGTTGTTTAGGCTCCCTGTTATTCTTAAAGCATTCTTGCCCAATCAGCATTTGCCACTCCAGGGACTCTGCAGGTTCACACCTGCCTAGTTCCAATACTTCTGTATCAGGCAAGTTCAGCCTCAAACTTTTAATACATGCGATGGAGGGGTGTGTGTGTGTGTGTGTGTGTGTGTATTGAGGAATTTCAAATGAAATCATCTTGGAGTTACTTGCGCATATCACTCTGCAAATTGGAACCCGGGTTCATTTTTACAGGGGCAGCAACAGAACAATGGAAAGTTTCCGCTGAGTGAAAACAACTCTGATCTTGTTGACTGCCAGGTTTAGCAAGGAGAAAGTAATACCGGTAGCTAGCAAGGATATTTGTCAAGGCATCTGCTAAGAAGGGACCTTTGCAAGCCTGGTGCCACTCCTGCCTGTCTTAAAACTAGATTTTAAAGAAGCCAAAATGTGAATTAACTTTGCCCAACGTATTTAGAGTAAGGCAAAAATGTAAAATGACTTAATATCTCTTACATGATGCTTCTATTGTTTTATAAGTAGCCTCAACTAATGTGTGGCAACTGGTTTTTCATTGAGAAATAAAAACAAAACCCCAAATCTACTCATTTCTCCACAATTTTAATGGTTTAGTCAGGTATGGTCAATGCAATGTCAGGATTTTTTTTAAAAAAATATTTAAACATCCAAGTAAAGAGTAGACGCTATTAAACATAGCTGGGGTGCTAGAAATCTCCCCAGTATGACAATCTTTGGGCAGTCTTTCTCAGAAAATAAAGGGCTGTGTTTGGTGGCACAGCCACTTTGGAAAACCTTTCCCAAGCTTGGTAAAGCATATTCAAAGGTGTTCTGCAGCTCTGAGCATCAGAAACAAAGGGCAAAGAACTAAAATGATGTGCTGCTTGTTCTTCTACATATCAAGTAATAATGCTAGGTTCAATTTAAACATTTTAGGTTATTCCATGTATGCCAAGTGCCAGTGGTAGTACTGCAAGCTACTGTATTTAATCATTTTGGCTCTGTATTACTTCAGAACAAAAAAGGGAGTGTAAAAATAAAATGAAACCACTCCAGTTCATACTGTAATTTGCCAGTAAACTTTGATCATCAGAATTGGATTTCTAGTGCCTGGGTTTTCTTGAATTATTGTCCTGACACATTTCCCGATGGGAGGCAGTCAGCAGAGTGTGCTAACTGGATCTCTCATCAGCTGATTTTGGGGGTGGGGGTGTCAGTACAATTGCAAGGTGATGCCCCTGGCTGACCAACCAGGGCTGGTGCTGTTTCGTAGCAGAATGCAGTGCTCACATCATATCTCTGGCCACATCCACAGTGCTGTGAAGTGGCTGAGATGCATCAAGGGAGAGAAGACACAATGTTTATCCAGTGGCAATGGCCATCGTGCGCTGATGAGTATCATGCTGCATGCCAGATCACTGCTTCCATTAATTACTGGGCAGAGCTATCTATGCTAGAGATAATAAAGTTGGAAGGGACCTTGGAGGTCATCTGGTCCAGCCCCCTGCTCAGTCAGGAAACCCTACACCATTTCAGACAAATGGCCGTCCAGTCTCTTCTTAAAAACTTCCAGTGTTGGAGCATTCACCACCTCTGGAGGCAGATTGTTCTACTGGTTAATTGTTCTACCTGTAGGGAAGTTTCTCCTAGGTTGCTTCTCCCCTTGATTAGTTTCCATCCGTTGCTTCTTGTCCTGCCTTCAGAGTGCTTTGGAGAATAGCTTGACTCCCTCTTCTTTGTGGCAGCCCTGAGATATTGGAACGTTGCTATCATGTTCTCCCTCGGCCTTCTCTTCATTGAACTAGACCTACCCAATTCCAGCAGCCTTTCCTTATATGCTTTAGCCTCCAGTCCCCTATCATCTTTGTTGCTCTTCTCTGTACTCTTTCTAGAATCTCAACATCTTTTTTACATCGTGGTGACCAAAACTGGATGCAGTATTCCAAGTGTGGCCTTACCAAGGCATTGTAAAGTGATATTAATACTTCACATGATCTTGATTCTATCCCTCTGTTAATGCAGCCTAGCACTGTGTTGGCCTTTTTGGCAGCTGCAGCACACTGCTGGCTCATATTTAAGTGATTGTCCTTGAATGCCCGGGACCTGGAGAAGCTGGCAGTTACATATGACTAACAACGGGCAGCAAACTTTCAGAATGAAATTTCAACTGATGGTGCAGCTTTACCTCCATCAAGGCAATCCCAAAGCTTGATGCTTGGTCTTACACACCTGCAATAAAAGGTGGGGGGGTGGGGGACCATATGCTCCACCCTATCTTGATTCTTAAGCGAAGGAAAGTGGCATATAATGCAGATTCTTAACTTGATTTTTGTTTTTAGCTTATTTGCATTTTATAATTGCCAGGAGAATTAAGCACAAAGGAATGAACTTCCTAATTTGCATTACATGTTTCTGTTTGTGCCTTACAAAATATCAGAAACAGTTGGGCGTATATGGATGGTGCAACCATAGCTCACCCAGTTCCACATCAGAACATGAAAGCTTGTGCATTGTGTCAGGGAAAGGAAGAGATGAGCAGCAATAATTCTGGCAACTGGCTATACGGTGTTTAAATAAACCAGGATGAATTTGGCAGTTGGGAAACAAGTGTTTGACTGATAATTTTGGGAGAAATGAACAACTACAAGCAACTTCAGTGTCCTGTTAGTCTGTCATGACAACCTCTATTACTAGTAAGCCGATAGCATGACTATGACATGTTTTATTATCCAGGAACTGGTTTATTCATGACACAGCATTTGCATCTCATTCAATTAAAAACAGTTGCCCAGTGGCTTATAGGGATTTGTAAGTCCATGCGCAGATGATAATTTGACATGGGTGAACATTTGTTAATGAGAACTTTCACTTTTAAGTCTATTACAGCATAACAACCAAAGCATATTGTGTTATATCAATTCTAGGATTTTTCCTGCAGTTAAATGATCACTCAACATATTATCTAATGTTGGTTGGGAATGATTATTTCAACTAATCAATATATTTGACCATGGCTGTACCATCTTTGATTACTACTGACCATGGGTTCCTGGAGAGGTAACTATCATAAACTTTCATTTCGGTTGAGCAGTAAGATTCGTGTCGGCCAGAAGTACAATGTGCGCAAATGCAGCAATTACAACATGCTTAGATAATTTCTATTCCAAAGAGATCTAAGAGCTGATGACATTTTTCTTCTGAGTCAGGGTCTTCTGTAGTATCTTCTTGATGAAAATAACTCCCGGGTCATTTATAGTTGGCAAAGTAGTAGTGTTTTTGTAAAGAGGATTATTTTACGAATATGAACGGTTTTGAACTGTAGTTCCGGTGTTTTGGGTTTGGCGGTGTGAATGGAAAAAGGCCTGGGTATCCTTTTGCTTAATAAACTCAAAACCCTTATTAAAAGCATTTATGTGCTAGCATGTTATGAAAATGATTGCATGTTCAATAAATACTTTATATCTCTGTACTTGAAAGCCAGTGTAGCCAAGAATTACAAATGATAAATGATCAATAGCTTCATAATTATTTTCCAAATGGATATTCCATCTATGAAAGCCCATTTTAATCAGGTTCTAAAAGTTACAAACCAGCTTTGTGAGCCTAGAAATGCTTGAACCTTGTTGGTCCCATTCTTTGTTTTCAGGCAGCAGCAGCAGCCAGATCTTTTCAAATTTCAAAAGTTTTAATTGCTTTTCTAAGTTTATATATTACTTTCTTGCTTCTTAATGCCAGTCACTTACAACATTGAACTATGAATCAGTTATCAGTAAATGCATTTATTAGGATGGAATTGCTTGATCCTACATAGCACAATATTTTCAAATCTGGAGAAAACTTCCAATTTTTCAGTTGGCTCTTTGTTTGAATTCTTGCATGGATAACAACTGCTCAAAAAAACCCAAGCTAGGATTATTAAAAAAAAAAAAAGTACCTGTATGAAGTCTTCCTCCCCCCCCCCAAGTCACTGTCAATAAATACTTTGAAGTAGACAAGAGATTAGGTGACTATAATGGATTCACTGCAAAAGACTTATGTGAAGTTACAATCTTGTATCAGATAAGAACATGAACATGCAGTTTATCCATTGACGGAATTTTGTACGTGTCTTGGCGTACTCGGACTGCTATTTTACAGATTTACTCTTGGTCAATTGAACTTAAACAATGAAGACTTTAAAGTTTTTTCAAGAAGACTTAACACAGATAACCAAAACTAATTTCACATTGTGACAAGCTTAATTTAGTCAGGAATCCTTTGCCAGTGAAGATAGCAAAGCAATTTTCTTATTTTGTTCAGGCTCAGTCATGCCTTCTTATGAAGCAAGCATAGTTTATGAAAAATATAAAATAAAGTGAATCTCCACGATATGGGTATCTTTGGATTGAAATAGATTTTGAATATCTAGTTGTGCAAATTAACAGCATCATGAGTTTATCTCCTATAGTCGTCGTCACACCTCCACAAATGATGCATGGTGTGTTCTGCCTTGCATCCTGGTCAACTTTTGTAATAGTAACAAAGTTATGTATGTATGTATTCCATCTCTTGTTCAAGATAACAGATTTTTGCCGTGCACACAACAGCTATTAGTCCATCAGATTTCTGCATTTTTAATCATTCTGTAGTGCATATTGTGTGCTATGCATAATTGTAAATCTTCCTGTGAGGTGGGAATAGAGCTGCTTTTTCATGCTGTGGGTTTTTTCAGAAATCACATATAAACAATCAAGATAATAGTCTCTCCTTAGTGGTATATTGTCTTTCCCTTTCTTCAGCTGATTCTGAGCAATTGATCGGATTTACCCATAATTTGTCATGTTGTTGCAAGTTTTCTACTATGATAGTAAAATTAGTCTTTAATTATTTCAAGGTGATCATTTAAACATTTCAATTGCTTAAATAATGGTCTATGTTTTGTTCCCTGCGGCCTGAATGTCTGGGTTACGATGGTTTCATAGAATGAAATTAAAACATTTTTTTAACTCTCTGGAAAGGAAAAAAGGATAAGAATTAGGCCTAGGGGAATATAATGGTTATTTGTTTGACAACTTCCTTTGAATTTGAAGTCTTAATTTCAATCTGTGTGTGCAATCTTTGAAGATGGAGCCTCTTTTATGTTGAAACATGAAAATATTTGTGATTTTATTTTGTCTGTTTTAATGTGGTTTTGCTATAAAAATTATTCCCTTTCTGATTGATACACGTGGGTCGCAATCCTTTGTACCATGAATTCAACCTCTCCGTATTGAAGATCCCTTTACAACCTAACAGGCCTAAGTTCTCTTCCTTTTTCCTGTCATGCATGTTAGCTAAATCACCAGATATTGTCACATTTTGCTTTCCAGTTAAAAGCAACTGTAAAACAACCCCCAACATACCCGCAGTACTACAATCGCTGGCCTGCTGTTCTGTGCCCAATTGTTACATTTATCATTCCTTTCATGCAAAACCCTTCTTTTGTTCAGGACAGGTAGGTCTCGATTTAACAATCGTTCCTTTAGTGACGGTGCAACGGCGCAGAAAGAAGTGACTTGTGATTGTTTTTTTTTTACACTTACGACCATTGTAGCATCCCCACGGTCACATGACCAAAATGTGGGTGCTTGGCAACTGGCATGTACTTCTGACAGTTGCACTGCCCTGAGGTCACGTGATCCCCGTTTGCTACCCTCCGACAAGCAGAGTCAAAGGGGGAAGCTAGATTGGCTTAACAGCTGCATGATTCACTTAACAGTTGCAGTGATTCACTTAACAACTGTGGCAAAAAGGTTGTAAGACGGGGCGAGATTCATTTAACAACTGCCTTGGCTCAGTGGAGCTCACATGGTTGTAACTCGAGGACTACCTGTCCAGCCAGCCAAAGATGGGACTGTTTTTAAACATTGATTTGACGAAGTGCCACTTCTCTTCCAAAAATCAGTGTAAGTCATCCTTCAGGTTGATGGAATCGATGGCCGTGGTTAGTTATTAAATCCTTCTGTTACTTAGGCATAGCAGGGTTGAGTATCCGGGCAGCAGACGAGTTTAATAAATCATTAATCATTGTCATAATTGAGCCAGCATTTTTTTGGTGTTAACAGCACATAAAGAAGAGCGGAAGGTTGAGGATAAACCAGGAGAGCCTCCTGCGATGCTGAAGAAAACGGTTGGACCGACGTCGGTGGTTGAGAAACACGGGTCTTCCCAAACAAGAAGTGTGCCCCTGAAGAAGCCCTCGCCGTTTGCCAGTACTTCACTGGTCAAGACCCCGGTGAAACACTCGGCCGCAAGTTTTAAAGGGGTCATACCCAAGAAGTCTTCGCTTGCGACGGGTCCTCCTCCTTCAGGCGGCCTTTCATCCTTAAAGCCATCTTTGTCCTCCTATGGAGCCTCTTCCATGGCTAAAAAAACAGTCCCCCCCTCTAGCACAGTGGCAGGGCTTAGGAGACCCGCCATGTATTCCGCTTCTTCTTCAGCCACCTCATTCCCTCCACAAGCCAAGCCAGCTGCTGCAAGCGCCAGCCAGTCGCAGCCCAATTCTCAGATTCGACAAAACATACGGAGGTCTCTTAAAGAAATTTTGTGGAAAAGGTAGGAACGCCGTAACGTGCGCCTGAGGCAATGCACCTTACAAGCCTCATGGGTGATGCGCGTTTATTATGATTTCCCTTTCGCAGCGTTAGCTTTCAAATGAGGTTTACGAAATCCATTTACGGCATTGCTCATTGATGGGCTCCTGTTGAGAAAGAAGTACTTTTCAAGTTTCACGTTAAGGATTTTCTATTTCAGAACATTCTGAAGAAAGGAAAGGTGACTTGGTTGAGACTTAGCCGCTCTAAATTGACCTGAATCATTAGCAGCCCTTCCATCAAATATAAATTTGTAGGAGACAAATAAACGTATATGTTGACAGTTCTTTTAAATCAGTGTTTCTCAATCATTGCAGCGTGAAGATGTGTGGACTTCAGCTCCCAGAATTCTGGGAGTTAAAATCCACATTATTTTCCAGCTGCCAACATTGAGAAATGCTGTTTCAAATAATTTTGAAATGTGCCAGTGATGAAGGATGGAAATCCCCATCAGAAAAGGGCCATTCTCTCTTCAATTCCATGTTCTGTGGAGTTCTTGGTGCTCTCTGAGCTTGCTTGTTTGCTTGCCTGCAGACATTTCTTTAGCAATCTAAATCCAGAAATGGAAGCTTGGCATTCAGACAAATCAGCCGTCAATAAACACATAGAGATAAAACCACATTTATTGATCATTCAAAGACAATTAAAAAACCTAAGAAGGAAATAGAGTACAACCCATCCTCTCTAGCAGCCCGCAGTTTGCTAAGCAGGCAGACAACCTGTAATCAATACTGTAATCTAATGAAAACTCTAAAGAGGAAACCACATTCCCACTAAAACTGGCAGGGCGGAGCTTCCATACAGTAAACAGGCAGCAGACTCCACACTCATTTAGCACTGATGGTATTACCTAGTTAGGTATTGAAACATTTGCAAGTAAACCACCAAGTTCAGAGAGCACCAAGGACCCATCAGTTCAATACTGCACTAGAGATATTAGCAGAATCCCAATAGAAGAGAATAAGACTAATTATAGAAGATTGCATACACTCCCTTGCTGTCTTTAGATTAAACTAATGGTGCTGACTTTTTCCCCCCACTCCAGAGTAAATGACAGTGATGACTTGGTCATGACAGAAAACGAAGTGGGGAAGATTGCACTGAATATTGAAAAGGAGTTGTTCAATTTATTCCAGGCTACAGATAATCGATATAAGAGTAAATATCGCAGTATTATGTTCAACCTCAAGGACCCCAAAAACCAGGTTAGTCTGTACTGAAATGAAGGAGCTATTGTTTTGACTGGTTTTATTTTCCTGCAGGCAGCTTTCAACTCTAATTTAGTAATTAATATACATTATTAGATATTGCTCATAATATACAATGCATCCCTACCTCAGATTGTTAGGTTTTGAAAAAAAAAATGATTAAGAAACATTTGGTAGATGAATAAATGTATATATATTGTAAATAAAAATTGGTTTCCCTCATTTCACTAATTGGTCGTGTGATAAACTGGGTTGGTATTGTAGATTCATTGCAAACAAAAATATTTACTAATACACTGTTAATATTGAAATATTTTCAGCTTCAGAAGGCAGTATTGAGCCTCATGTGCATAATTTTAAAGGGTGATTAATGACGTTAGGGATAATAGATTGTTAATCAAACCTTAATTAAGTTATTTGTATTTTATATTGAAATCCAAGATTTAACATTCCTTGTAAATGCACATAAAGTTAAATGTAAGATTTTTCATAAAAGCACAAAGGTAATAGTTGACATTCACCATATACAGCGTTGTCAAATTGCTCAGTGCTGTATTTCGTAACAACCACATTAAAAAAAATGAATAAGCGTTCTTTAGATCTACAGTTAGGATGATCTAAATTGGCTATGATCATTTATTTATCTAGAAGGCTGTATTCTCTCATTAGTATGTAATAATATCAATCTTCTCTCTAGGGTCTTTTCCACCGTGTTCTTCGAGAAGATATTCCTTTGTCAAGGCTTGTAAGAATGAAACCTGAAGAACTCGTATCTAAAGAGCTGTCATCGTGGAAAGAAAAACCAGCCAAATCAGTACGAAATAATTTGTTTTCTACATATGAAGTAAAAATTGTGATGCTTTTTTGTATTATGTTTAGGGGACATGATCGGTAAGAATGTACAGGTGGTACTTGACTTACAAATGGTCACTTAGCAACTGTTCAAAGTTAAGAGAGACCCTCCAAAAGGTATTTATGACCCAAATTCGGAATTACAATGGATGCCCCCACAGTCATATGATTGCATTTTGGGGCACTTGGCAACTGGCCTGTATTTACATTTGTTCGAAGTGTCCCACCATCACATAACCATAGTTTACAATATTTTTTGCCTGAAACCAATGTTTATTTCCAATTTCCAGCAAAAAAAAACCCCTCCCCTTGTGAACAGTGGTTTTGCTTAAGGACTATTGTGATTTGGTTAATGATCACCACAAAAAAAACTTGTAAAATCGAGTTGGTCACAAACTGTCCAGCATGATTTATTACCATAAATCTAAGCTCAATTGTAGCCATAAGCCAAGAATGCCCTATACTAGGGTGTTGTTGTTTATCAAAGTAGCAATTACAGTAGATTTTGTAACTAGTTACAATCTATGTAGTCCAGGAGTAGGCAACCTTGGCTCTTTTATGACTGGTGGACTTCAACTCCCAGAATTCCTGAGCCAGCATGGCTCAGCTTGGAAACCTCTGCCTTCCCCTCAGCATGGCTGGCTCAGGAATTTTGGGAGTTGAAGTCCACGAGTCATAAAAGAGCCAAGGTTGCCTACCCCTGATGTAGTCATTCCCAGCCTTATGCCTTCTAGTTATTATTGTTATATTCGTTATTTTATTTGACAGTGACACTGCCTGACTCCAGTTTTACTCCAGGCAGCTCACAAAATAGAAACCAACAGCAGTATACAATCCAGACAAATCCAGTCAACAGCCACATACACACACCACACAAGGGATTGCAACTAACCCAATGTCTATGGAGATTCTCAGTCATCCAGGTCATGGCTGCCCCAAAGATGCTTGTTCAAGAGGCAACTGGAGATCCTTGTTTTTCCATGAAGACATTTTGTTTCTCAACCAAGAGCTTCAAAGAAAAACAAGAAAATCCAGTTGTCTCTTGAAAAAGCACCTTTGGCACAACTAGCCTAATCCAAGGCTTGGGAGTAGAACCAGGCCTTTAAGATGCTCCAGAATGCCACTGAGGGAAAGCCACCCAGAACTCAGTGGGTATCTCATTCCAGAGAGGAAATGCTCAAAAAATGGCTTCCTTTGGTTTGAGGGTGCCAATCAATGGTGAGATTCAGATGGTTTGCACCACTTCGGCAGAACCGGTAGCTAATTTTTTGTGTCCAGGCCCAGAACAGACTTCCGGAAGTGGCATCCACATAGAGAACCGGTTATTCACATATTTGAATCCCACCACTGGTGCCAATCCTCACCAGGCAGATACTATGAGAGAACAGGTCGGACATAAATTATATTGAGACTACAGCATCTACATCAACCTGAAATGTTGGAAATTATAGTCCCCAGAGGAGAAAGTTTGGAGTACTGATTAAAAAGATGATTAGGGGACTGGAGGCTAAAACATATAAGGAACGGTTGCTGCAATTGGGTATGTCTAGTTTAAGGAAGAGAAGGACTAGGGGGGACATGATAGCAGTGTTCCAATATCTCAAGGGCTGCCCCAAAGAAGAGGGAGTCAAGCTATTCTCCAAAGCGCCTGAAGGCAGGACAAGAAGCAACCGATGGAAACTAACCAAGGAGAGAAGCAACCTAGAACTAAGGAGAAACTTCCTGACAGTGAGAACAATTAATCAATGGAATGATTTGCCTCCAGAAGTTGTGGGTCTCCAAAACTGGAGGTTTTTAAGAAGAGACTGGATAGCCATTTGTCCGAAATGGTGTAGGGTTTCCTGCCTGAGCAGGGGGTTGGACTCAATGACCTCCAAGGTCCCTTCCAACTTTATTATTATTATTGTTGTTGTTGTTGTTGTTATTATTATTACTATAAACTAACCAAATAATCTTTTTTCCCCCTTCCATAGATAATGGCATCTAGGCGTAAAACCTTTGAAAATAAAAAAATGGCTGTGAAACAAGAACCTATCCCAGATATTAACATGGAAGATTCCCCGCCAGTGTCTGATTCTGATGTAAGTACTCTGTATTTCAGAGACCTGGTTTTCTGCATCGTGTGTTTGGTAGCATCCCCCCAGCTTGCTCTTCTCAAAGGGATTTCTGTTCTATAACTTCCTGACAGCAGGAAATTATGCAACTTGATCATTATGAAATTATGAAATCTAGCCCTTCCTTTGGCCACCAGTTTTATTCGTCAATAAAACAATATACTGCAACATGTCATTATTAAAGGCTGCCAATTATATGAGGCATGACTGCTTTGATTTTCCTGTTATTATTTCTGCTAACGTGGATATTTGTTTTATTACTTGTTTCAATGCTCTATATTTCATATTGCTGGATTATAGGATTATGGTCACATAGTAATATGTACCGTAGAGCTGAATGCTGTTTACACTTGAAAGGACTTCAACATATATAACTATCCTACATTATGCATTGCTAATTCAGCTATCTAAAGGTAAAGCCAATTGATTTAAGTGGAGATAGCCCTTACAATGCCCAGAATTGCAACCCAAATTATTTACACTCATATGTTTGAAAACATTGCTCTTAATATAAAAAGGAAACATGCCAGGCAATTAAAAAAAACCAACCATGCTTCCAAATGTCCCAAAAGTGCTTCCCCCCCTTTTTTTTTCAAAAGGCAACTGAATTTTGTTTTTTCCATGAAGACAGTTTGCTTCTCGTCCAAGAAGCTTGTTCTGAATTGAAGAACTGAACTGAAAAAGCTTCTTGGATGAAAAGTGAAATGTCTTCAAGGGAAGACAAAGTCCAGTTGCCGTTTCGAAAAAGAAAAGAAAAAAAAAAGCACTTTCGGGACAACCATTACCTGGATAACTGAGAATCCTATAGGCATGTTTCCAAATCTTGCAGTATATCTTGATATCAGAAAAGGAAACAAAAGTGGGATTTACAAGACTTACTGTGGGTGGCAATTTTATAATGATATCAGCCACGGCCTTCTGATTTGGGCATCTGTCAACAGAAAACACTAAAATATTATACTTTAAATTCACCAAGAATGTTCCTTTTATCTCTGTTCAAAAAGAAAAAAAAAAGAATTCAACAAGACTTGAGGGTTATCCTTAAGTTACGGATAGATGCCTATTGCCCTTTCAGCTTCTTAGTGATGTGGATAACTTTTTTTTAAAAAAACCAAACAGTTCTGTTCTTGAAGAATTAATGCATTTGTCTACATGGCTGAGGTGAATAAAACAAACTAAACCTCATGTTTTTCTGTGTATTCTGTATGTTGTTAGGAGCAGCAAGAATCTGATCGAGCAGCACCTGAGAAGAGCAGTGCTCCTGTTTTGGATGTTTTCAGCAGTATGTTGCAGGACACCACAAGTCAGCATCGTGCCCACCTTTTTGATCTGAACTGCAAAATTTGCACAGGTGGGTATAAGGTTAACGATGTTGCTTGAATCCTCACATGATGGAAAAACTGAACTGGTCCAGTTGAAGTCAGATGCTCTCAAATACAAGCTCAGAAACAGTTAAGGATCTGAAGTGACCAGTTCAAAAAAGTTGAGTTGCTAGACTTTCAAATAAAAATAATTCTTTTCTATTTATTGATATATGATTCGATTTTGTTGCTGTGACTCTTGGTGGCATACAGTATAAAAAAAACAAAATACAATACAATAAATTGCAAAAGGGATAGTCCTTGAGTTATGACTGTAATGGGGCCTGCCCATTACAGTCATAAAATAGGTAAGTCAGGTGACCTACCAGATTTTATGCTGATTTTTGTAGCGGTCGTTAAGCAAATGCAGTGGTCATAAGGGTGAACTCATTGTAAGCAAGTGCTAATTTTCAGCAGAACCATTGTAAAACAGTTGGACCATGTTGCCAAGCGCCCCAAGTGCGATTACATCAGTGGTTCTCAACCTTTTTAATGCCGCGACCCCCAACCGTTCGTAAGTCAAGGACTACTCAACCAGTCGTAAGTCGAGGACTACTCAACTGGTGCAGCACCGTTTGCAGAATGGGACTTTTGGCGGGCTCAGCAGGGCAGAGACAGCCTGGACAATTCCTATTGGCTTTTGAAAGCCAATAGAATTAGACTATTCAAGAGAGTCTATTCTATTGGCTTTCAAAAGCCAATAGAATAAAAGGGAGTAGCACAGCTAAGGAAAAGGGGAAAAAATGGCGGACTGCGTTGTTTGGCGACCCCTGTGAAATGGTCGTTCGACTCCAAATGGGGTCCCGACCCACAGGTTGAGAACCACTGGATTACATGATCGCAAGGGGGGGGGAGCAACCATTGAATCCCATTGTTTAGATAGGTTACAACTTTGAAAGGTTGCTAAGTGACCGTAAGTTGAGGTCTACCTGTAAAGGAAATGATAAAATGGTAACTGAAACAGCGAACATTAGTATAGATGCAATATATAATCATAGTGTGTGTGTGGGGGGGAGAGTTCCATCCACCCTATCCCAGACCTGAGAGAACAGCCAGATCTTTAAGGCCTCCTGAAACACCTTCAGATTCTGAAAGTGTTTGATTAAGGGGGCTGGAGCATGCTCATCCTTTGGCTCTTATCAGTCAGTCTAAAACCACAAGAAACAGACCATCCCTCAAATAAATGGGCTCCATGGCAGAAGTAATGTGGCAGTTTTACTGTGGTTTTCAAAAAAAAAACTACCACAAAACTACCTTGAAATATAGAATGCAAAACCCTTTCGTTTTATCCCTTAATGTTTGCCGATGACTTGATTAGAACTATTTGTGTTTTAACATTTTTATATAATGCTTTCAGAGACTCGTGTCTCTGTGAATCTCTCTTTTTCACAGCAAACCTACAAAATGAGTTGTTCTTTGTGCAGACATTTCTATGCCACCTCCTGCTCTTAAAAGGACAAAATACTAAGAAAACATGCACAATACAAAAACAACGCATCAACACTAAGGAGAATTAAAGTCTTCAGTCTTGAATGATACCTACGAAAACCAGGCATAATAAAAATAAAGTTATTAAGGGCGGAATATTCTGTCCTGAGGGAGTTCCATAATCAGGTTGTCATGTTACTGTATTCATTGAAGCTTTAAGAGTAACTTCTTGTCCCTTTAAGGATCATGCTGTGCCCGCTGTGCATGAAACCATGTGTTATAGCCACAAACTCTTTTGCAGTGATACATATTAATTTTGATTACAATGCAGGTCAGATTTCTGCCTCTGATGAAGAATCGACTTCAAAAAAACCCAAACCATCAGCTGCTAAGAAGACAGAACCAAAGTCAGAAACTAAGTCCAAACCGGAAAGCTCAACACCAGCAGATGATATGGAGGTGGTAAAAGAGGAAGATCTGGAGAGTGTCCCAAAAGCCATTGTTGAACGTGCGACTGAGACAATGGCCCAGCCAAGTTTGGAAAGAACTTACATTCCTTTATCTCAAGTGCAAAACAACTCAGAATCTTCTCTGTCCACGGAGAATTCAGCCTATCCCACACTCTACACTGCTGGGGTCATCACAACAGTGACTGTTTCTGGCAAAGATCCCCGAACGGCTGTGAGCACCTCTGCAGCTTCTGGTTCTGCAGGGATTTCCCCATTGCATCCCACTTCCACTCCTGACAAAGGTTCTGTAGCAGAGAGCAAGCCAGAAATATTAAGACCTGTTTTATCAGCTCCAAAGTCCATTTTAACAAAACCATCTTCATCAGAACCAAGATACTTGGCAGGTCCATCATCTTTAAATGTCAGGTATGCTACATCCTGGAATTAGGGGACGATTGTAGCCTATAACACAAAGTGTTAGTGCATGCATGTATATGTCTGTCTGTGCCTGCCTGCCTGCCTGCCTGCCTATCTACCTACCTACCTACCTACCTACCTACCTACCTACCTACCTACCTACCTACCTACCTACCTATCTATCTATCTATCTATCTATCCCATCCATCTATCCATCCATCCATCCAAAATAATTAAAGGACTGTGGATCAAGCAAATCATAAGTGCTGGCCCAGCCAGAAGATCACAGTGTCCATCTCCTGTCATATCAAAATACTTTCTTTGATAGAAAAGCAGTCTATTTATGTGAACCAGCAAATTGTGGAAAGCTAGATTGAGTGCTGAGTAATTGTTTTGCAACTGAATTCTGATGCATTGATTGAGTTAGCTTAAAGCAGTGTTTCTTAACCGTGGCAACTTGAAAAGGTGCAGACTTCCAACTTCCAGAATTCCCCAGCCCAGTGCAAGACTGGCTGGGGAATTCCAGGAGTTGAAATGCATACTTCTTTAGACCAGCCAAGGTTGAAAAGCATCAGCTTAAAAATACATGGTTGCGTTACGAGAGAAATATTGAAAATGTTTGGAATGGAGAAGCTGTTACGGGGAAACATTTTGGGACATTTCTTTTTGATTTTGCAGTATGTCAGAGATTTGGTCCCCTCCAGAAGGAGATACATCCCTGTTTCTTTCTCGCGTGAATACCATTTGGAAAGGCTTTATCAACATGCAAAGTGTGGCTAAATTTGTCACCAAAGCTTATCCAGTCTCCGGGTGCTTTGATTATCTCAGTGAGGTAGGATTTTGAAATGTTTATTGCTTTTTGTGTGGACGCTTCTGGAAACTAATGTTGTTTTATTACAGGTAAAAAAATGTCCTCAACTTAACAGCTGTAATTGAGATTGAACTTATGCTCCTAAGTTCGTGCCAGTCATTCTGGGTTGTCACGTGACTGACATGATTTTATGACACTTTTTGTAGCAGTTGTTAAGTGCATCACCGTGGCGGTTAGGCAAATTAGATTAAGGAAACACAGTGGTCATTGAGCTATTCCACTGTCTGAAATGGGTGAGGTTTTTTTTGCTGGAAACCTGAAGTAAATGTCGGTTACCAGCAAAAAAAAAAAAAAATTGTAAATCATGGTCATGTGACTGTAGGATGCTGCAATGGTTATAGATGTAGGTCATTTGCTGAGCCCCCAAAATGCAGTCCCTTGACCAGGTGGGTGGCTTTGGGAACTTTTGGAGTCCGTCATAAATTGAGGACTGCTAATCATCTTTTAAGAAATAAAAATACTGTATGTAGCACCTTTATTATACTACATTATGTATAGATTAGTCTGAGAGCTGAGGAAATCAATTATTTTAAAATGATTTAAATTATTTCGGTCTAGATAGGAATAACAGACGGTTATTCGGGCCTGGATGGTAAACTTAATAGTGAAGGAAAAGTATAGTTACATATTTACAAAGGAATTTTAATGTTTCTACTTAGATGCAAGTAAGTTTCTTCTAGAACAAGACAACTGCACCAACAGCCAATCCAGAAACGAGAAGTTCAGTTTCCAATATTTGATTCTTGGGGGAAGCTCCATATTTTGCACCTATTGTGACTGAAGGCCTGAATTTACTTATCTGACCCACTTGCATATTGCTTTCTGGGTTCCAGATGGGTTATAGCGATTCGCAAACTGGATTTCTAAAAAAGTAATAATAAGAAAATAACATAAAACTGCAATAATTAAAAGCATTCATAAAATATAAAAGGAGCAGAGGAAAAATGATGCTGAACTTTATCTCAGGGAACACCTGGTGGAAGATAGGAGTTTTAAGTGAATCATAGTTGGTGGAGAGGGAGAGAGCTGAAAATGCTATTAAATTTGGCTCTCGCAGGTGGTAATTCATCATTTATAACACATGTAGCAGGCCTTTCTTTGATTTTTAAGGATTTCCAAGATTGAAATAAATTTAGGAAGTATACATGCACACACACACACATGCATATATATTTTTATTCTATAGCCAGAATTCCTCCCAACGCTCCCAAATATGTTTTTCTCACTAGAGCAAACAAAAAACTCCAGATGGGTGTTCTGAAAGATAAAACTAAGCATGAAGCATGTAATGGTAATAGTGAATTACTGAGAAGCTGCATTGCCTATAGCAGGGGTATCCGGCTTTGGCAGCTTTAAGACTTGTGGACTTCAACTCCCAGAATTCCCCAGCCAACCATAGTGATCTATAACATCAACTCCCAAAGTTAACAGTCCTAGTTCAACATCACCACATCATGCTGGCATTTTCCCTGGTCATCTGTTCAGTAGATATGCTATATATTTTTCATCTAGCAAAAAACTAAAGGCAAATTTAATAACTTGGTAACTTTAGTCACTTTGTATTGAGTAAGCTAGCAATATGATAGCCTAACTTTAACAAAGAAAAGGACGAGGGGGGACATGATAGCAGTGTTCCAATATCTCAGGGGCTGCCACAAAGAAGAGGGAGTCAAGCTATTCTCCAAAGCACCTGAAGGCATGACAAGAAGCAATGGATGGAAATTGATCAAGAAGAGAAGCAACCTAGAACTAAGGAGAAACTTTCTTACAGTTAGAACAATTAACCAGTGGAACAACCTGCTTCCAGAAGCAGTGAATGCTCCAACACTGGAAGTTTTTAAGAAGAGACTGGACAGCCATTTGTCCAAAATAGTATAGGGTTTCCTGCCTGAGCAGGGGGTTGGACTAGATGACCTCCAAGGTCCCTTTCAACTTTATCCTTATTATTATTAACTTAAGGATTCCAGTTTTTTTTCCCTATACCATGCCAAGGTAATAATTGTATACATAAAAACTGCCTATTTATGTAGACAAAGCTAGATTATGCATTTTGACTCTTATGAAAAGAAAGCAGTGTCAGGTTTTTTTTCTGTTCATGTCCTAGGTCAGAGCATTTGGCCTTCTGGATGTTACCTAACAGCTGTCACCTGTCGTTATTCTTGTTGAGAGTGTTGGATGTTGCGTATTAGCAACACCTTGAAGTCCTTAAGTTCTTTGGAGAGAATAATAGCCCTGATTATAAAAATAAGAATACGACTCTCATAATATTTGTAGCTCAGGTTGAAATGTGGTGTCTTTGGTACTCTTTGAACTTGGTTCTTTCTTACAGACATTTCACTACCCAACTAGTGATAATAACACCTCTGCAAGAAAACAATCAAGCTCAGAGAGGCCCCACAATATGACTTTCTTTATAGACTTGCTGTTACAATATGGACAAAAAACATTCCTTCAAATTATGGCTTCTTTTCATGTTTTCTCTTTAGGATTTACCAGACACAATTCATATTGGAGGGAGGATCTCACCAAAAACAGTGTGGGATTATATTGGCAAACTTAAATCCTCTGTATCAAAGGTAATCAAGTTTGGCAGTACTGTAATTCATTTGAAATGATGATAAGGCTGATGACATAATAACAATTGGGGCCAAATACATCTTCATAGGGATTCTGTTGCCCAAGGCTGGAGTTAAGTTCAGTCTGAATTATGGCACAAGCAATTGCTAATCTGTTCCACTCTAAATATTTTGAATAGCAGGAACTTTTAAAAGAATTGTGCCATGCAGCTGTCAGTCATATTTTCTAAAGTAAGCTTTATTGGTGAGCCTTGCAAATAAGTATTATATGTATTGTGAGTATTTTTAAAAGATAATTAACAGATTATTATCTTTTATCTTCGATTTAAAATTAGCCATCCCAATAAGAATGTTTGCTGGGCTTTTATTTAAAAATACCACCGAATATTAACTTAAAAAAACATTTTATATCAGAATGAAATAAAAATTGAATTACTAATAATTTTTCACTACTTTGAGTTTAACAAATTGGTGGGGACTTTTTTTTTAAAGAAAAGTTAGTTAAGACAACTTTTTAAAAATTTTACACCACTTTTTAAGTTTTGCCATTAATATTCTGGATGAATTCTTTCTAACCTATGTGGTCCCTTGCTGTATGTTGCTTTTACTTGCTCTTTGTTTTTTTCAAGAGTCAGAATTTTTCCTTTATATTTTTATACTCCAGGAATTGTGTTTAATTCGTTTCCATCCAGCAACAGAAGAGGAGGAAGCTGCCTACATCTCTCTCTACTCCTATTTTAGCAGCCGATGCCGCTTTGGAGTTGTAGCTAATAACAACAGGCATGTCAAGGACCTGTATTTGATCCCCCTCAGGGCTAAGGATCCCATTCCATCCAAACTTTTGCCTTTTGAGGGACCAGGTAAGCAATAAATTATAGGAAACACGACATACCTTCAGTTCCCAACTTAACAACTACCAGTATTAATCAGATAGGACACGCTGCATTCATTTATTTAGCATATTCACCCATCTCAAAAATATAACTCTAGATGGCGTACAAACATAACAACAGTTAAAACTACATAACAACATATTTTTTCTTAGTACAAAGTGTGTGTGTGTGTGTGTCTACAATTTGTTTTCCTAAACTACAAGGTTTTTCTTTCTCTTTAAACAGTTGTAGACATATTTAGCCATGTTTTACAACACTGATACACAACATAACATGCTTCAACTTTGAGTGGAATCTTCCTAGCAGTTTATACAATGAAATTCAGGTTGAACGGTAGAATCTGCTTATCCGTTTTTGAGTGGCATTTTATATAAACAGGTATGTTCTGAGTAGGCTTGATCTCTCACGTCCCAAATCTTACAAGATCTCTAGATTTGGGTACAAAAGTTTCCAAGTGAAATAAAGGAAGAGGAAAGCTCCAAAGTTTTAAAGTTGCAAATGAGGCATAACACCAAGTGCCTAATTTGCCCTGTGACATCACCTCAGTCACGCCATTGATACATAGATGGAATATTCTAATAAAAATATTAGAATCACAGCTCATTCCTTAGTTTTGAACATAGGTCTTAGGACTTAATAATAGACTTTATTGAACAAGTATTGAATGTTATCAAGTATCCTGGAGAAAAATCTTAGGTGGTCGCTAACAGTCGACTCTACCTTGACGGCACATCACCATCATCATTGCACATTCTTATGTACTTACAGAAATTAAAAGTTAAATATCTATAGTTTTCTACATTTCTGATCTCTGAGAGATCATGCAGATGTTCTGCCCATTCTGAAGAGAGAATGTCTGTATGCTACATGTATAAAGCAAAATAATTAAATATTTAGTATGGCAAACGGCTTGCTCTGAAATTCTCTGGATCGAGAAATGCTGGCAGACAAGAAGTGTTCTCATTTTACCAAAGTCACTGTTCTTACTTTGGATCTTTGAACCCCTTTCTGCAGTCTTTTTTTAAATCACTGAAAATGTCTATATAATCATAGTCCAGTGCTAAATTGGCCAACCCAAATATCACATGTGAATTTTTAGCATAAATTCATAATCTTTCTACCAACCATCAATTTACAATTTTGGCAAGGAGGTTTTTCTTCCAGCAGCTACTGGATAAAGGAAAGAAAGTGAGAGGGACATATTGGTTCCATGAATCACTGGCAGGGAGCAGTCCAGTTGCAGCTTTCAGTATTAAAATTCTGCCCCCCTGGTTCTGGTAGAATACCCAGTTTAAGACCATTGGGGAAATCTTGAAGCTGGCAAGAAATGGGAATACTCCTTAAACATGGCAAAATGCTCTGTGTTCTTGAGGAAAGATCCATAGCCACGGACAAATTATCAGCATCTTGATGAATTCCGGATATTCTTCTGAAGAATGCATGTATCCTTGGAAAACTAATTCCTAAGAACCATTCTAAATCAAATAAATAACTTGGTGGCCAAAACAATCGGGTCTAAAAATACAGCCTGTGCAACAGATTGCCTTGTTATAAATATTTCACTTAAATTCCGGCGAAAAGGAAGCTATGATGCATTCTCTAATGGGTCTCTGGCAACTTGAAAGGCAGGTCAGAAATCACCGTAATTATCCTTGCTCCAGAAAATATACATAAGAATTCTTGGCATAACAACTTGGAAGAGCTGTGAAGTAATGATTCCATATCCAATGAGTAGAATGATCCAACAGGGAGAGAATTTTACTTAGCACCAATCATTGGATCTGTCCCACAGGAGCAGATCCCAGCATTGGGATGGTTACAACATTTACTCAGGTGCGTTGTGCAAGTGTGAACGTTTCTCGGGTTTATTATGTTTTTGCCTTAGGTCATTGATGGCGAACCTTTTAGAGACCAAGTGCCCATACCGCAACCCAAAACCCACATTTATCGCAAAGTGCCAGGGCCTCATCAGCATTGTAGTGCCCTCGGGGGTGGGGAGGGAGGTGCCTCTGAGTGCCGCCTCTGACACACAAATATCAGGGTCGCAAAAATGGGCTACCTTGCTGCATGGCACAAAAAATGGCCACCACCGCATCGCGGGGTACAGATAAAAGGCACTGCACCACATAAGAACGAGCCAGGGCTAGTGCGTATCACGCAGACACTAGCCCTGCCCCATTTGCAGCAGGTGTTTGCTCGCGGCCCCATGCATGCATGTAAAATGCTTCCCTCTCCCTTTTCTTCCAGTCCACCAATCAACAATGGTTGGTGACCTCTGCTCTACCATCTCTACTCAAGCTTGCTAGTCGGCCGTTTTGCCTCCTTTGAGCTGGGCAAGGCTCCTGCTCCGGGCGGCGGGGGCAGCCTGATGGACCTGCTGCTGGTGGCGGTAGCGCCCATGCCAACAGAGAGGGCTCTGAGTGCCACCTCTGGCATGCGTGCCATAGGTTCGCTACCACTGCCTTAGGTAGTCAAACATTACATTTTTTTTGCACATATAAAGTCACTTTGTTCTCTGCACAGTTTTTTTTTAATGTTGATTGGTTGCTTTGCCATCCTAGAATATTCCAAATTTTATGGATTGTTCAACCAGTACACATTTCAATGTACTTCTGAGGATGAAATGATGGTACTCTTTAAAATAAATTCTCAACTCTTATGCAAGTATATTGGCAATCACAACATCACATTTGTAGCTGTCAGTCTAGTTAAGAGATGGGAATTCTAATACAGGCCAGGACCAGGAAATTCTCAAAACACACTTTCTCAAAAGGAAACACTGAACAGTATTTGTATACCTGTAATTTTGATGAAGACTATGATTAGCTAGAGTATTTTCACCGAATGAATTGTCTTAGTTCTTTGTCGTATGGATGAATGTGTAGAAAGATGTAAAATCATAAATGTTCCCCAGCCCCAAAAATGAAATACTGCTTTCATTATATAATCTCAATAAAAGTGTTTTATACAAAGTGGTAATTGTCTCTTTCAATTGACTGTTTTGTATGATAAATCTTTTTACAATAAAGCATCAGTTGTACATAGCTAGCAGTATGTAGTAGGATTATTTTACAAGTACATTCGAGGGATAGTCTACATCAGTCGTCTCCATTTTAAAGTTCAAACTGTTGTTTTACTTGAATTCCAGAGTACTATTTAAAAAAAAAAGCTAGAATCCAAACTCAAGCAATAATTATCTCTTGCTCTAATACATCCACGGTGGAAACTACAAAATGTTAAAGGCGTAATTTTAAGAAGGTCTATTGTGTTCAATACGACGGTTGCAGCGTCCCGGAATTGTGTGATCACCATTTGCGACCTTCCCAGCCAGCTTCCAACAAGCAAAGACAATGGGGGAATTTGAATTGGCTTAGCAACCGCATGTTTCACTCATCCACTGCTTTGATTAGCTTAACACTCGTGGCAAAAAAGGTCATAAAATCAGGCATGACTCACTTAACAACCAAATTGTTTAGCAATGGAAATTCTGGTCCTGATTGCGGTCATAAGTCAAGGACTACCTGTCTCAGTAGGGCAGGGGAAGTAAAATAACTAATCCATGTGAGTTAGCCACCACTGTTTCAAAGGGTGCTCTTGCAAGGCTTTTGCTTACTAAAACTATACCAGCACTTTTAGAATTTAAATTACAAAGGATGTACAACAGAATGGTAGTGTACCTTGCTGTACCACAGGCTATCACTGCCTTCAAACAACAGCAGTCTTTATCATTGTCCAGAAACTTAGTATGGTTTCATATCCACCAATGAATTATCAGATTCCTACAAAAACCCCACCAGTACACTTTTCAAGAGTAGCATCTTCACGGCAATAAAGTTTAGGATTAGTTTAAGAAGGAAAACTTTCAGGTGACACAGTGGCATCAGCAATGTCTGAAGTTCTGACCCGTATCAGCATGAGACAATGGAGTTCTATTTCATGCTGATGAAACCTTTTCTATAGCTGGGGATTTTTCCTTTTATGCTAATAATTTCCCTCCAAAATATGAAATATATTGCTTGTATGCCAGTTCAAACTTGTGTGGTAGTCGGCAGCCATCTTGGGGGATGATGCAAACCAAAGTTGATGTTGGAGTGAATATCGGCTAGGAATAAAGGATGACATTGGGGTTGAGGAAGGGGCAGAGGCAAAAGGAGAAGCATCACAATCCTTCAGGAGTTTCCATTTGACCAGTACTAATATGAGGATCATCTCTTGGAAAGCTTGCAGAAGTGATAAATCTAGACGTCAAAAGTATAGTGTCTCTGTCTTCTCACCTGAACTGGAAACATAGTATAATCCAACTTCTTTTCACAAGCATCAGGAATTTGCTGGCATAATTCATAATGCCATCAATGAGAGCAAGCTGATCTGGTCCAGAGGCAGAAAACCAGGCCCAAGTCATACTGCCACCACCACGTTTCCCAGCTGAGATAAGGTTCTTCTGGAATGCTTTGTTTGTCTCTCGAAAACACATCTTGCTTATCACTCAAGTCAAAAAGTTCTAATTTGGTCACGTCCATCCACAGAGCATTCTTCCAATAGAGTACCCTTCCAGTTCATCCATGTGACCCTTCACAACCTGTAGACAGCAGCTGAGTTCTTTTGTAGTGTAGCGGCTTTCTCCTTGCAACCTTGTCAGGCTCACCACCACGATGGCCTCAAGAACATTGACATTCTACAGTGCAAGATGTTTGGTCAGATGTTACCCTGGGCTTCTCCTGCCGGAGTATCACATGCCTTGCTCTTTCTGTGATTATGGTTGGCTGATCACTTCTGGGAGATTAACAGTTGCCTCCTTTTGTACATGATCTGCCCAACAATAGACTGGTGGACTCCAAATTCTTTGGAACCTCTCCTGGCCTTGGTGAGCAACTGTTTTTTGGAAGTCCTGAGAAATTTTCTCAGTTCCAGGCATGACATATTTCCACATACCCACGTTGCAAAGATCAGGCTTTGATAGTGAATTCCCAGAATTCTGTTCTTTAAATAAGGCAGGATCTTCCACACGCACACCTGATGTGTCATCCCATTGATTGAAACTCCTGACTCTTCATTTCACTTTGAAATGTACCAATAATCCTAGAGTCTCACATACCCTTGCCACACAATGCTTTTGACCCATTTGCTTGTTGTTGTTAATTGCGAAGTTGTGTCCGACCCATTGCGACCCCATGGACAATGTTCCTCCAGGTCTTCCTGTCCTCTACCATCTTCTGGAGTCCATTTAAGTTCACACCTACTGCTTCAGTGACTCCATCCAGCCATCTCATTCTCTGTCGTCCCATTCTTCTATTGCCCTCAATCTTTCACAGCATTAGGCTCTTCTCCAGTGAGTCCTTCCTTCTCATTAGGTGGCCAAAGTATTTGAGTTTCAGCTTCAGGATCTGGCCTTCTAAAGAGCAGTCGGGGTTGATCTCTTCTAGGACTGACCGGTTTGAACGCCTTGCAGTCCAGGGGACTCGCAGGAATCTTCTCCAGCACCATAGTTCAAAGGCCTCAATTCTTTGGTGCTCAGCCTTTCTTATGGTCCAACTTTCACAGCCATACATTGCAACTGGGAAAACCATGGCCTGGACTATACGCACTTTGCTTAATTGGGTTCTTTTCATCTAGTTTTAGCACGTACGGAGAATAGATCAGGTGTTAGGTCATATTAATGCAGAAATATTGAAAATTCAAAATAGTTCATAAACTTTTAAGGTAAATTTCATTAATCCGTGCTGCAAATTTCAATTTTCCAAATGATGTGATCCGTGATGAAAAATATATAGATAGGCTATCCATGATTGATCTGCTTCAGTTTGATAGTTTAGCTCAACTATAATGGGCCAAGAAATATGTTCACTGTAATCAATGGTTGAATTTGGAAAGCTGAATCAAATAACCTGAAATGTAAAACATACGTTATTGTTATAACACAGGTAGCATGTTTAAAAGTGACTGCCACACTTATGGAATAAAACATATTGAATTGTTATGTATATTTTATAGCCATGATTTTCAACAATTTATGGTACTTTAAACTACAGACCATCACTTGGTTATCATTCTGTAACTGAATATGTGATTGTAACAACAGTTCTATTACATATCTAGTATTAATGGAGATAATACATCATTGCCGTGGTGCATTTGTTAATATTTTAGCATGTTATATGGCATAACCTTCTTTCCTGATGCATTACATGTTTACTTTTTACTCATATCAGCATACTTCATAATCGATTATTTTAGCAGTAAACTTTTGTCTGTATCTTAGAATAAATAAAATAGCAAATATACCTGTGCTTTATAGTTTAATAAAAGTACTCGCCAGGGTTAGTAGCTTTCCCTAACCTTAAAACATTAAATGATTTTTTTTAATGGCACTTTAAATTCTAAAATTCTTGTTTCTTCTATTTTTCCTTAGGTCTTGAGTCAAACCGTCCAAATTTAATTCTTGGATTAGTGATTTGTCAAAAAACAAAGCGTCCTGCAGCTGTCTTGGAGTCAGAAAAGCCCGATGAGAAGAAGAGCCGAGTCCAGATTCAAGAAGAAACGGAAGTATTGGGATATTCCAAGGGCAGCACGCTTCCACCACAAGAAAAGAAATCTGCAAAATTTTCTTTGTATTCTGCAGAAACGACGATCAGTACAACACCACCTAGTTCTCCTCCACCTCCACCTCCAAATCCACCTCCAGAGCCACCTTCAACAGTGGCACCTTCTGTGTTGAAAATATTGTCATCAGTTAAAGCTGGAAGCTCAGCCACCGTGGCACCCTCTAATGTTCCAAGGTCAGGAGCTACCACCACTCCTGTGTCTTCTACTGATGCCCCAGCCTCAAAATCATCCACGCCACTTGATCACATTTTGGAAACCCTTTTTGGGAAAAAGAAGCCTTTCGATCCCGTTGCCAAGGAATCGGAAGCTACTCTTCATACCTCGAAGCCCGAAGCACCAGCTGGGATGGACGAAGGACCGCTTGCTGCTCCTCTAATCGATCCCATTGTGCAACAGTTTGGACAGATGTCCAAAGACAAAGCTATCGAGGAGGAGGAAGATGATAGACCTTACGACCCCGAGGAAGAATACGCTCCGGAAAGAGCTTTCGAAATGCAGGCTGGCCAAAGCCGACTTGAGAAGGGCTGTGAAACGCCGGAGCAAGAAGATGAAGCCTACGATCCAGAAGATGAAACCATCTTAGAAGAAGCCAAAGTCGCCGTGGAGGATTTGCCTAATAAGATGTATTTGGAGTCTAAAAACAACTCCATGGCCACATCTGCCCCCTTTGTGCCCGATGCAGCTGCTGCACCGTCCTTGATAGAGCAACAGAAGATGCTCGAGGAGTTAAATAAACAAATAGAAGAGCAGAAAAGGCAACTCGAAGAACAGGAGGAAGCGCTCAGGCAACAACGGGCAGCTGTTGGCGTATCCATGGCTCATTTTTCAGTCTCTGACGCTTTAATGTCACCGCCACCCAAGTCAGCCGTAGCGAAAACGGAGTCATTCCAACCCGAAAAACCAATTTCTGAAAAATCCGACATGCCTCCTCCCTCCGTTCAGCCTCAGCTGTTCGGCCAAGGAAACGATCCCAGGCAAAGCAGAGATCCCCGCCAAGCTAGGAGAATTCTAACGGAGTGTAACGAAAGTGCCGACTTTAATATAAAGCAACACGTGATACAGGGAGAACCCTCTGCTGGACAGGTTCCTCCGTCTGGCTATTCAGTTCCATTGCAAGCTGCATTTGACAAAGAGGAGAAATGTCCTAACGAAACGTGGATTGCAAGTGAAACAGGTTCTGCTGCTGCCTCGGAGCAAAATGTGCCTATCGGTTATGAAAACGTTCCACCAATTCACCCGGAAATTATAAGTAAACCGGCTCCTGTTGAAGCGCCTACCAGTGCACCCATTCGTAAAGTATTGCTACCCACCCCTCCCACCCCATGTTTTATGCCCATTTTTTCAGGCTCTAATAACGCCCAGACTATGC